GATGACATTGACTCTTACATGATCGCTATGGAAACCACTGTAGGCAGTGAGGGCCCACGGGCACTGCCCTCCATTTCCCTTTCCCCTGGCCCCGCCTCAGAGGAGGAAGATGAAGCTGAGCCCAGTACAGTGCCTGGGACTCCCCCACCCAAGAAGGTAGGGCTGGGGGTAGGGGCTGGGAGGCGAGGAAGGAGCCGCCTAGAGAGCTCATTGGCTTTCTCCTCTTTCCAGTTCCGCTCGCTGTTCTTTGGCTCCATCCTGGCCCCAGTCCACTCTCCCCAGGGCCCCAACCCTGTGCTGGCTGAAGACAGTGATGGTGAAGGCTGAACTGAGAACCCCCAGCATGTGTCCAAAGGCTGTGGACTAAAAGCCTCAGCCAGCGGCAAGGCTGGACCTCGGTCCAGGGGAGAGTAGAGAATCTGACAGTGCTGGTAGTGAGCTGGCAGTTCTGCGGCCTCCTACAGGACCTACCTGGCTGGCTGCTGCAGGGCTGCCCAGCTCACCTGCCTGGCCTGAGTCCTGCCATCCCCACAGCCTGCAACCAGTCACATCTCTTCCCTGGCCGGGTGCCAAGCTACACTGACAGGAGGTTCCTTACCTCTTATTTACCATTTAGGCTCAGGCCAGGCTGTGGCCATCTGGCCAGGGCTGGAAGCCTGCCTCCCTCCCTTTCCTCCCTAGGAAAAAAATCACAATGGGGCTCCTGCCCCTGCTGATCCACTCTCTCTGCCAATCATGAATGCCCTTCCCACAAATGCTGGGCACATCTCTGGGACTCTGTGGATGGAAAGGACTGTTTCTCTTGCTTTTTCACTGTCATCTGGCCCTCGCTTGGAATTCCAAGAGCCTCTGGACCCAAGTGTGTGGCTGGGCCTGAGCCCAGCAAGCCTGCCTGCCTTAGTGTTTCTGTGCAGAAAGGCTGCCAGCAGTGTTTGGGACAAGAGAGACAGAGGACATGGAGAGAATCCAGCTTTGACCTTTATTCAAGAGACCAGATGGGTTCCCCCAGGATCCGGCTGCCAGCCCTGTGGCCAAGCACGGCTGGAGACCCACAATCTGGCCTGCCATTGCCCTGAGCTGCAGCCTCAGCCCCAGGATCCCACTTGTACCCACCGCAGGTACAGGTGGGAAGGAGCCCTGGGGGATTGGACGCTGCTATTTATTCATTAAAAAAAGAAAAATACACCAAGGCTCCATGTTCCCCGTGATGGGTGGGCCTAAGGGGCCTGTGTGATCCCCATGGCAGCATGATTTCTCTACAATCAATCCATCATCTGGGGCAGAGGGTGGCACACGGAGGTTATTTCTTGGCTTTGGCGGAGTTGCGGGGTGGGGTGATGGGTCGGCCTCCAGGGTTCAGGCCACTGAACTGCCCATATTTCCCCTTGTTCTTGTCAGCGGGCTTGAGGATCTAAAAGAGACAAAGATAATCAGGCTCACAGTGCTGGGCCACAGGGCCCACCAGCCCCTTCCCCACACCTACCTGGAAGGAGCACATGAGGGTCTCATCCACACTCATCATGGCACCAGCATTGTCAAACTCACCACAGTAATTGGGAGCTGAGAAAAGTGTTACCAGCTGCCGCTTGGCAAAGAACTCATAGCCATCTTCTACCACCTGGGCAGGATGGGAGCAGTTAGGTCCATAAGCATGGCTTTCCCATTGTCCTTCCTGCCCCTATCCAGGGCTGTTGGCCCACCTGGTGTGCCCGGCAGATGAGGTCCAAGTCGTGTTTGTGCAGGAACTTGGCCACCACCTCAGCCCCAAAAGTAAAGGAGACGCCACGGTCATTCTCGCCCCAGCCCTGCACATCCTTGTCGGGGTCAGACCACAGCAAGTCACACAGCAGGCCTTGGTCAGGCACGTCTGTGGGCCGCATGATACGCCGAATCTGCTCCATGGACTGCAGATCTGGAGACAGGCCTGAGGGGACAGGATATTTCCTCAAACAAGCATCCTGGTCGCAGGAGCCCAGGCAGGCAGATTCAAGTCCCAAGCATAAGTACAAAGATGTCCTAACTCTCAAGCCCAGAGCTCCCTGAAGGAAGACACTGCAGGATGCAGAATGCCACAACAGGAAAAGAGTGCAGCCTAACAGTGTGGCACAGGGGGACTTCCTGTCAGTGACATCCAAGATTAGACCTAAGGAGAGCTGTTTGAGACAACTAGGAATAGTCCTGCTAAGAGCTTTGTTTGGAGGCCCCAGGGACGTGTCCTGTGCGCCTTCTCAGGCATTTCCTCAGCATGTGCCCACAGCCACCCTCACCTCCGTGGCAGCAGAAGATCTTCTCGTCCACAATGGCTGCAATGGGCAGGCAGTTGAAGCAGTCGGTGAATGTTTTCCACAGTTTGATGTTGTAGCGTCTCTTGCCTGCCCAGGGGAAGGAGACGGCTTGTGGGGAGGCCTGCCCACCCCATCCTGGTTCTCCAGGCCCTCCAGAGTACTTTGTGAGTGTTCAGGGTAAGCTAGAAAAGGAGACTGGAAGGCAAGGAAGGCTCAAGCCCACACCTGGCCCCTACCAGTCATCTAGGAGTAATTCTAAAGCACCTGAGTCTGTAAAAATCTGGGTTCCAATCTGGTTCAACCTTGGGGGTCAGAACCTTCCCCCACCCCAGGAGTAGGACCAGGCCACACAAGCACAAGCATCCTAAGTAAAGGATATACTGGAGGGGTGTGTTCCCAGGCAGGGCCTTAATGGGAAGTGTAGTAAATGCACAGTCCTCCAGGGAGCATCCATTCACCAGACCCCTCTTTGGTGCCAGGCCTCACTCAGGCCAAGAGAACAGGGCAGGAAATGACCAGCCCACCAGGGATCTGCCAGGGTCCCATGAAGAGTAGTGTATGCAGTTTGGGTCCAACAATCAGACCACTCACATTCATCGTAGAAGCCATAGATGCGGTTGATGCTGGCACACTCGTGGTTCCCGCGCAGCAGGAAGAAGTTCTCAGGGTACTTGATCTTATAGGCCAGTAGCAGGCAGATGGTCTCCAAAGACTGCTTGCCCCGGTCTACATAGTCCCCCAGAAAGAGGTAGTTGCTCTCTGGAGGGAAGCCACCATACTCAAACAGCCGCAGGAGGTCATAGTACTGGCCGTGGATGTCACCTGTGACCCAGGGAACTGAGTAAGCTAGGTGCCAGATGTGCACTTGAACCCAGGACCAGAAATGGGCTGGAGGGAAGAGGGATTCAGGAATTCTGGGGAGGGGGGCAATGCCACTTTCAGGAAGCCAAAAGGTCCTGGGGGGCCTCACCGCAGATCTTGAGGGGAGCCTCCAGCTCCAGAAGAATGGGCTGGCTCAGGAATATCTCCCGGGATTTGAGGCACAGACCACGGATCTCGTTCTCTGTCAGCTGTACATTCTTCCCAGGTCGTGAGCCCTGCACTGGGGGCGGAATGGGGTGTTGGGAGCCTGGCCCCCCGGACAGGAGGTGGGTGGGCAACTCAGGTGGCCCCTTGGGTACCTCTGGGGGCGGCTGGGCCCGGGCTTGGCCAGGCCAGCTACTGCTGCGGGGCCTCCAGGGAGTTTCTCCTCAAGCCTCCCAACAAGACCCCCAACTACCCTGGGGGCCCTCCACAGGGGGCTGCTGTGCGCAGGGGCCTGTCACCCAGAGCTCAAAGCAGCGCCCTTCCTGGCTACGCTGCACAGGTTTCTCCCTTGCCCTAGGAGCCCAGGCCACCCGTGCGCCCCTGCCCAGGAGAGGGAGTTGCTCCGCCTGCCGGGGAGGCCCGGACCCCTGAGGCGCGCCTCTGGGGAGGGGGGGTGCGCCGTGGCCACGGGACCTCGCGGCGCGTCCCCGCCCAGTCGACGCTGGCCCCGGGAGGGTCAGGCCCTCCCGCGGCCACTTCCGGGCTGGGCAGGGGGCCAGGGCGCGGACCTTCCCCACCCCGGCCAACCTTCCAGCAAGCGCCCGATGATAGAGTCCAAATTGAGCTTCTCGCTGTCTGACATGGCGGCGCCGCCGCTCCGGCCCAGCAGCTCCGGGCCCGCTCCTCTCTCCCGCCCTCCCGCAGCCTTCTTCCGGCCTGGCGCTCCTTCCGCCCGCCCCGGCCCGCCCCGGCCCGCCGCCCCGCCTCCTGGCCGCCCGCCCCGCCGCGCCGCGCCGCACCCCGCCGCGCCCCGCCGTCTCCCGCGCTCTAGCGCCTCCGCTGGACGTGAAGCGCCACGGCCGCGACGGCCCGGGGGCGGAGTCTCAGTCGACGGGGTGGGCCCAGCGGGGATTGGTGGGTGGAGTTTGGTCTGGTCCCGCCCTTAAGGAGTTACCCAGCTGTGTTCAGATAATTTGGGACCGGAAGTACCTGGAAGTTGTTTTTCTTTTCTTTTTTTTTTTTTTGGAAGTTGTTTTTCTCTTGAAGCCTTAACACCCCTTCCTATCCCTGCCCTGAGTGTGAGCACGTTAATAATCACATCCCCAAACACTACAGAATAAAACCTCCAAGTGCAGAAAAGGAAACTATGGCTTGGGGATAGCAGGGGGCTCTTCCAAGACCTAGGGCTCATCATATTCTCCTGTGTCTCTGTGGCCCCCAGGCAGCTGAGCAGATCCAAGGACACCTGCCACTGAACCCCAAGCGTACTGTCATGCACATTGCCTGGGTGCTTGCTAAATTAATATTTTTTATGAGTCTCATAGTTACTTTTTGAGTAGCATAGTAATATTGCATTGTGTGCATATTAAAAGGATTACCTTATAGAGAGCAAACATAAAGTAAACTAGAAATCTTATTGGAACCCCGAGTTGGGTGTTTTACATACCAGTAACCTCAAAACTGGAAATGACCTGGCTTTTCACCTCTGGCAGACTCCAGGCCCCAACGGACAGGCATAGGGGGAGGTGGGAGGAGCCGAGGTTCAGGGGCACAGGGGCAGGCAGGAAGAGCCTCAGAGAGGAAGGGGTGACCCCCCCATACATACTTGGGAGGGGCCCCCAACCGCTCACTGAAGCTGAGTCTGAGGAGGAAGTGAGAGGAGGAGGTGAGGTAGAGCAGGGAGGTGAGCTGAACTGGTGGGGACAGGCTGGGCCCGGGGCCTGGTCTCTATGGAGGCCTGGCCTTTATGTCACCTCGGGGACTAACCCACTCCCCAGTAAAAGAGGGCACATAGGGGGCTTGTTCAAATATCCTGAAATCTCCCTCTGAGGCCGGGCAGTGGTTGACTGGAACCCAGGCCCCAGGTTGGCCAGGAGCAGCCCCTCACGTTGATTCTCCCCAGGTCTTTCAGCCAGTGGCATTTTGGGGTCTAAGGCGCCATGGCCCAGGCCCTGGGGGAGGACCTAGTGCAGTCTTCTGAGCTGCAGGATGATTCCAGCTCTTTGGGGTCTGACTCAGAACTGAGTGGGCCTGGCCCCTATCGCCAGGCTGACCGCTACGGCTTCATTGGGGGCAGCTCAGCAGAGCCAGGGTAAGTGGGGCAGGGGTGGGCGATGGCAGGGTGCAGGGACCGAGGATGGGCGTGAGGGCTGAATTCTGGAGTGAGACTCAACTTCAAGGATCTGGGGAGGGTCTGGTAGCTGGACTGGACAGAGACGCAGCCAGTGTCATCCCTCCTCAGGCTCCAGGAGTCATCCTAAAGTGGGAAGGGCAGGTTCCTGTATGTCTCTTTTACCTCAGCTTCTAAGGGGGGTGAACATCTTTCCCTTTTTATYATCTCTGGCCCGGGAATCTCAGATCCAAGTCACAGAACCCACAGCTCTTCTCCCCTGCCCAGTGTGCAGACAGGAAAACGAGTCCAGAGAAAGACAGAAATTTGTCTTAGGTCACGTAACGGGTCCAAGACAGAAGTAGACTCAAACTTGGACCCCTGGCTTCTAGTCCAGGGCTCTGTCCGGCCAGCTTTCCATACGAATTGTCTGTGTTCCTGACCTGGGTGACAGTCACCCAGCTCCTCTCCAGCCCATAGTTACACCCTTTAATTTTGTTCCTGTTTCTGCCCACATCAGAGCTCGATCCTTTCCTATCCCCACGACTATCATTGACAGCTTCTGGGTCACAGGTCACCCTCTAGGACTCCCTAGAGAGCCCCAGTGCCAGGAACTAGGTTTCCCTGAGTTATCTGGAGGGGGAAGGTGTGGGCTCCGAGGAACAGCTACCAGCACCTGGATACATGTGCTGTGGGTTCCCAGGCCAGGTCACCCCCCTGCAGACCTTATCCGCCAAAGAGAGATGAAATGGGTAGAGATGACCTCACACTGGGAGAAGACCATGTCCCGACGGTACAAGAAGGTGAGAGAAGAGTGACCCATCAGGCCCCCTTGCCTCCTTCCTCTCTGCCTCACCCATTGCCTTAATAAAATTTGCCCATGCGGTGACCCAGCACCTCCTACCTTTGCCCCCTCCCCCTCAGGTGGCCCCCTGGCCTATGGGAGTGTGCCAGGGACCTGTCAACAGCAGCAAGTAAGGTCAACCTAATGAAGCCCCTCTGCCTGGCCCACAGGTAAAGATGCAGTGCCGGAAGGGCATCCCTTCAGCTCTGCGGGCCCGGTGCTGGCCTCTGCTGTGTGGGGCTCAGGTGTGTCAGAAGAACAGCCCTGGCACCTATCAGGTAAGGGAATTACCTCCCCTTCCCAGAGCTCCGTATTTCCCTGGATCCTTGTACCCACCTTCCTGTCCACCTGCAGGAGCTGGCAGAAGCCCCTGGAGACCCACAGTGGATGGAGACCATTGGCAGAGACCTACACCGTCAGTTCCCTCTACATGAGATGTTTGTGTCACCCCAGGGTCATGGGTACGAGGCCAGCAATACCCAGGGACCCCATTCCCCACTGTAGCTTTACATCCTTTCATCTCAGGGGACCCAACAAGGTCCAGGGAGGTTGTAGCCTGGGTAGAGGCCACAGAGGGTGGGAGGGGGTGTCTGGGGACCTAGCCCCTGATGGGGTCTTCTGGCACAGGCAGCAGGGGCTCCTGCAGGTTCTCAAGGCCTACACCCTGTATAGACCGGAGCAGGGCTATTGCCAGGCCCAGGGCCCTGTGGCGGCTGTGCTGCTCATGTACCTGCCTCCGGAGGTAAGTGAGCTCAACCCTGCCTGGAGACCCCCACCCGCGATCCCTAGTGACCTGGGTCCCCACACAATTGATCCTGAGCTCTGGACCTATGACCTCCAACCTCAATAACTCTAGCCTCGGGATCCTTTACTCTCAGACCTTGTCTGGAGACTCAGGGCCTCATGGCCTCCAACCTCACTTAGTGATCTTGAAGCCTAATGACCTTGACTCCAGGAACACAGACCCCTTGACCCCGTCCCTTATCCAAGTGATCTAGGAGTCTGGACATTGTCACCTTAATTTTTTTGCCTCTTGATTCTGAATCCTGTGATCATGGACTCTGTCGCCAATGATCCTAGGAATCCAGGACTTGAACTTTATGACCCTCTCAACCCTTGCCCTGGCTCTGTGACCCTCGAGTCCAGCACCCTGAGCCCTGTAACATGCGACCCCTAAGCCCATCTGTTGGCCTTGTCTTGGGAAGAGGGGGGCTTCTGGTAAGAGCCAGCCACCAGACCCTGAGCAGAGCAGGAGTTGCCCTGAGTCCAGGCTCCTGACAGGGCTCCTGCACCTGCTTCCCCTCCTGCCTCCCAGTATGGCCCTTGCTCAGTGGGCACTCACAGGCCTGTGCCCTACCTGTAGGAGGCCTTCTGGTGCTTGGTGCAGATCTGCGAGGTCTACCTTCCTGGCTACTATGGGCCCCACATGGTGAGAGGCTGGGATGGGGCAGGAGGCAAAGGGTGGGGGCTGCAGAAACCTGGGTTCAGGGAGTAGAGGTGTTGGGCGGCTCTGGCCAGCTGAGTTGATGGACGTGGTCACAGGAGGCTGTGCGTCTGGACGCGGAGGTCTTCATGGCCCTGCTACGGCGGCTGCTCCCACGTGTGCACAAGCACCTGCAGCAGGTGGGCGTCGGGCCCCTGCTCTACCTGCCTGAGTGGTTCCTGTGCCTCTTCGCCCGCTCCCTGCCATTCCCCACGGTGCTGCGCATCTGGGATGCTTTCCTCAGCGAGGGTGAGTGGGGCAGCCCCAGTGGCTGGGGTCCAGAGATTTGGGGTGCACTGGGGAGCCCGCTCACTAGCTCTCAGTTTATTCTGCTTGGTAACTGCCACTCCCAGTCTTTTGGGGCCTTGAACCGGGGGGGTGGGGGGTTGGATGTGGCTCTGGAGAAGACAGCCTTGTCCCAGGTGGTGCATCACCAGTGGAGTGCATTGGAGCCCCCTCCTGTGATGGGGAGTACCACAGGGAGGCCAGCACTGCCTGGGCCAGGGCTGGGCCAGGGCTGGGCCAGGAGGTTTCTGCTGAAGGTGGAGGGAGCTGGACTGATCCCAGCGCCTGGCATCTGAGCAGCTCAGAGGCGGGCAGGACTGGGACTTGGCTGAGGGAGGAGGCTCCTCCTGGAGCCCACAGCCGACTGCCGAGCACAGCCGGGCACCAGGCGAGGGTGGCTCTGGCAACACGAAATGCCAAGTGTTCCAGACCTTCATTCTGGTGGGGGTGGGGTGGGGTGGGAAGTGACTGTAGCCAAATTAAGGAGATATTTATAGAATGTCATAGTGCCATGAAGAAAATAAAACAAAGGATGTGACAGAGTGTCAGGAAAGTGGCAGGAAGTTCTTGCTATCTTTAAAGGTGCTCTGGCTGGAGGTAAACAGAAGGGTCGTGGGTGGAAGTTGGGAGCAAAGAACGGGAGGATCACGAGGGGAGAGCCAGGCAGTCTTGGGGTCTTCTTGACGTGCCTCGATAGCCCCATAAGCACCCCACCTGTGATGTCCAGAGCTTGTCCCTAAAAAAGCAGTGGTGATTGAGTAGTACCTCTCTACTGGCTTCAGATCTTCCACACAGGGAGGACCACTGGTGTCCGTCCAAGTCACCATCCATGTGTCACCTCCCCTCCAGCCTCAGACCCCGAGGGCAGGGTCATTTGTGGTGACTGAGGTGATCCCTGCCCCCTCCACCTGAGGACAGGCATTGCACGGACACCCTTTAATAGAGATGATGACGTTAGCAGTGTCAATTGTTCCTTTACAAGTCACAGTTGTCACTGGGCCTTTCTGGCCCCCTGGCTGCTCTTCTCAGCGAATCAGAGGCTGCCAGGAAGGAACTGTGAGGCTCCAGGAGTGGCTCAAGGTCATGTGTGTGGTGTGTGTGAGGGTGCATATTTGTGCACAGGCACATGAGCCCTGTGCTCTTGGTTCAGGCATGAGAGCAGCTCTGCCTAGAATCTTCCTAGAACCAGAGGGTCACAGATCCAAGCTGGAAAGTCCCGAGGCACCCGTTGGACCTTCCCATATAGAGGATAGAGCTCAGGTGGTAGAGCGCTTGCCTTGGATGCAGAAGGCCCTGGGTTTGATCCCTAGCACCACAAACAAATAAAGGAAGGAAGCCGAGGCCCAGAGAAGGCTTGGTGTGTGCTCTCGGTCTCCCCTGGCTCCTGGCAGGCTGCTCTGCCTGGAAGTGTCTGGGGCTCCTGAGGCTGAGTTGGCCAGTGCAGGGGCCTGCAGTCCCCAAATCATGGTCTTCCCTCTGTCATTGCTCCTGGCCTAAGTTGGGTGGTGGCAGAGCTGCAGGCTGGTGGAGAGAGCATGACTGGGGGCAGGTTCAGGTGAATGGCCGAGGGAAAGGCTGGCTTCCTGTGAGTGAGTCCCTGGCTGCAGGTGCCAAGGTGCTGTTCCGAGTGGGGCTGACACTGGTGCGCCTGGCACTGGGCACTGCAGAACAGCGCATGGCCTGCCCAGGACTCCTGGAGACGCTTGGTGCCCTTCGAGCTATCCCTCCCGCTCAGCTGCAGGAAGAGGTCTTCATGTCCCAGGTGGGTGCCCCCTGCCCACCCTCCTCGATGACCCAGCCCCTGATGCACAGCTGGGTAAACCGAGTCACCAAGCTGGAAGCCCCAGTGAGAACACACTCGGCTCCTGTCCTCTGAGCTGCAGAGAACGTGAAAACCCCAGGCTCAAGTGACTTTCTGTGGCTCCCCCCCGCTAGGCTGCCTTCGAGTCCCTCAGCCCTTAGCCACTTCCTGGGGCTGTGTACTGCCTGCCCGTGGAGACCTCAGGGTTTCCTGCCTGTGCTCTGGTCCCAGTAAATTCTGCACCAACTGCTCCCCACAGGTACACAGCGTGGCCCTGTCAGAGCGGGACCTGCAGCGGGAGATCAGGGTCCAGCTGGCCCAGCTGTCCAAGTCAGCATCTGAGCCACTACCTCGGCCACAGGCCCGCCTTCCTGGGGCCCAGGCCATCTTCGAGGCCCAGCAGTTGGCAGGGGCACGAGGGAGTGCCAGGCCTGAGGTACCTCGAATCGTGGTGCAGCCCCCAGAGGAGACCACGCCACCACGACGCAAACCCCAGACTCGTGGCAAGACTTTCCATGGGCTCCTGACTCGGTCCAGGGGACCCCCCATGGAGGGTGCCCCCAGGCCCCATCGAGGTTCTGCCTCCTTTTTGGACACCCGCTTCTGAAGGTGCCATGGACTCAGTCCCCAGTCCCAATCACCTGAGTGGCTGATGCCAGCCCTGACTGTGAGCACTGTACTTTACTGCTGGGATTTGGTGACTCATCTTTGTTCCCAGTGAGGACCATGCAGAGTGGGACTTTATGGACTGTGTCGGGCATGAGATCAAAGGTCACAGAAGGGGGCATGTGGGGCAGGCTGGCCAACCACCTGTGAACCTGTCTTGGTGCCTGTATCAAAGAGCTGGAAGATTGTGGGGTGAGGCTGCTGGCTGGACTAAGGGACCCTTGAGGGCTCCTGGAGGACCTGGAATAAAGTCTGACTGAGCAGATGCCTGGATGGATCGGCAGAAGCCCTGCGCCCTGTCCCTGGACCTGCCACCCCTTCCCCTCCTGCCCTCACCCACCCTCCAGACCTGCCCTCTCCTTTCTGACTGGGGACTCCCTGAGGCTGCCCATTGGCTTCTGGGGAAGCTGTTTACCAGCAAGAGAGCTGTGCTGGTAAACCACCTTGCTCCGGCCTCTTGGGGGCAGGTAAGGCTCGTGCACCTTGGGAGGAGGGCTCCCCAGTGGCCGCTGGGCCCAGGAGTCGGGGCTAGTCTCTATTCCACCCCTCATTCCCCTCCCCCTAGGCTGGTTCAGGACTCCCCCGGGTGGAGGGACTCCCACCCACTTCCGTGCCCCCTCACCCATGCTCCTGGTCCTGTCAGTCAGAGGGAGCCAGAAAGAACAAAGGCCTAGTGTGCCCCGGACAAAGGAGAAAGGTCCCGCCAGCTCTTGTCTCTCCCTAAGCCCCAGTGCTCCCCCTCGAGACCGCCACCATGGAAACCCCCTCCCACACTCACTAATTGCCCCCGTGGGTGCCTGGGGTGCTTGGGACATGAGCCACTGTCAAGACAACAGGACTGGTGCCCGTGTCCCCACAGTGCCCATCCCCATCTCCCTGTTGCCTGCCCTGGCAGTTCCTTAACAGGCCACGGGTAAAGAACAGAGCAGGGGCACAGGAGGAAGTGTCTGGAGGCCCAGGCTTCCATGGGGACAGCCCGTCACCATGACTGTGCTGGCCATTGGCATGGCCCCTGTCAGAGTCTGAAACTGGAGCGTTCTGTCTACCCACAGGCTGCAGAAATGCACTCAACCTGTATGTTCTGTGGCACCCACTAGGGGCCTGGCCAGGCCTGGGTGCAGCAGACCTGTCCCACTCCCACAGAGCCTGCTGCCTGGAGGAGGGACTCCTGGAGGGCCAGACCCATATCTGTAGTTTCTCTGGGGAAACTGAGGCTCAGGAGAGGAGGAACTTGACCCAAGGCCTACGATGACCCAAGATTTACTCCAGGCCCTGCCCTTGGCAGCCCATGAACCAGCCCCCCTGGATCCCCACCTTGGCCTGCCCTCCTGGACGTCCTCTGTGCTTCTTCACTCCCTTCCTGAGCCAGCCCAGGCTCCAGCTCTCCTGCCTGTGGGGCGGCAGTGGGGACCTCCAGGGTCCTCCTGCTTTCCTCTTCCCAGCTCACTGGATACCTGGACCTTAATAACAGTCTTACCTGAAGTTCTGTTCTGTTCTGTCCTTTTTTTTTGGCAACCAGGAGCACTTAACCACCGGGCCACATCCGCAGCCCTTTTTTGAATTCTGTTAAGAGACCGGGTCTCACTGAGTTGCTTAGGGCCTAATTTGCTAAGGCTGGCTTTGAACTTGAGATCCTCCTGCCTCAGCCTCCCAAGCCACTGGGATTGCAGGTGTGTGCCACCTCACCCAGCCTAAAGTTCTTAAAGCCCTTTCTCAGATCTGCACCCACCCTGCATTTTTCTACGGGTGGCCCCAACACAGACGGCCTTACTAGAGAGAGGGAGGCTCTGAGATGCTGAGAGCTCAGCCCAAGGCCACAGTGAGAGGCAGAGGAGCTGAGTACAGAGCCTGAGACCCTAGAGGGGTCTATAGGTGGCCCCTCCGGCTCTGTACAGTGGGGGGAGTCCACCCATGAACCACTGTCCCGCAGTTCTGCTGGGAGACCAGGGGAGGCAGAAGGCCATGAGCTGGGGTGGTGAAGGCGTTCCTGCACCCGCTGTCAGACAGGGTCACAGCGTGGGGGACACTGCAGCAGGGCCTCACCATCTGGAAACCAGAACCATTAAGAATGTTAAGTGTTTTGTTTATGATCCTCATGATACGGATAACAGGGCATACGCCACTCAATAATAAAAGTACGTATTGCCTGAGATCGCAGGAAAATTCCCAGAATGAGACCAAGGATACCAGGGAGACAGGCCATGAGGTGCGTTTCAGTGTCTTTCAGGATACAATCAATGGTGTTATTCCTCAAGCCTAAGCAACGAGAAATATTTATCCCATAGTTAACAATTTACATAACCCCCAACCCCATCCTAAAGCCACAACCTGTACAATAGCCTAGCTACGGAAAAACGATCGCTGTGCCAACGTACCACCGTATGTAGCTTATGGTGTCCCCTCCGGGACAAGAGGCTAATAAAAACACATTCCCCAACCAATAGACCCTTCTTTGCCTTACACAGAAACTTATGAAAATGGAAAACACATAGTTAATATAAATGACAAATGGGTTGAGGTGTAAAGCCTGCCCTTTAGTTAAAGATTACAAAGACAAAAGAACTGGTGTGCTTTGACCAAGGATCAAGGGAGTTCTCTAAGAAAGCAGTTGAATAGGTCATATGAAAAAAAGAAAATTCTATTAAAAATAGAATGATATAAAATTAACATAGATAGATTTTAGAGGCACTTCAGAGTAGTAGGCTTTTAAATAATAGACTTTCACTACTTTAAGTGTGTTTTACTGGGATTTTAGTTTAGAAGTAAGAAAGCTTACCAATAATCATAAGTATGCTTTAAAAGTTAAAAGTTAATGAAATAATTATAGGTATGCTTTAAATTTACAAGTGAATAATAGGTCAGGAGTCATGTAGTCTGGTTGTGTCGCCTAGTACCTAGAGATTGAGGTGAAAACGTAAAAGCTTAATTATGATTTTCTACAGTTACAGAAAAATATTTTGAACAATGTACTCAATATCTTAGGTAATTAGTGTATGTCAGAAAAGATCGTACTTCTTGAAAATTATGTAAATCAAAAAAGTTTTGGGGCTAGGGATGTGGCTCAAGTGGTAGGTAATGTGCTCGCCTGGCATGCGTGCGGCCCAGGTTCGATCCTCAGCACCACACAAAATAAAGATGTAGTGTCCACCGAAAACTGAAAAATAAATATTAAAAAAATTCTCTCTCTCTCTTTTAAAAAAAAAGTTTTGGACTTTGAAGCTATCCATTAACTACCTGAAAAAACATCTGTAAAAAAAGTATAAAACTAGGGCTGGAGATGTGGCTCCGAGGTAGAGCATCTACCTGGCATGCGTGGGGCCCTGGGTTTGATCCTCAGCACCACATAAAAATAAAATAAAGATATTGTGTGCACCTGTAACTAAAAAGAAAATCAATCTTTTTTTAAAAGTATAAAAATAAAGATCCCTCTCGAGGCAGCATGAGATGTCTTCGGAGGCTGCTGTCACTTGCAACCTGCCGTCCGACTCTTCTTCTTTCGCCGACACCACTCCTCCTTCAGGACCACTCTGGACCCTCACTCCCCCCACCGGGGCTGGACCTTGGTTGGCACTGGGGGGAGCACAGTGGCAGTGGCCCCCTTGAAACAGGCCTGAGGAGTGAGTGGTCTCCACGGGGCCCCTCTGGCTGGGTGCTGTCAGTCTTTCCTACTCAGGGAAGCATTTTTTCAGTGCCCCTTCTGCAGTTTCCATTATCATCCACTCTACAGGAACCCCAACTGAAAAGTCAGGCCAGAAAAGAACAGGCTCCCTCCTCACATGAACACCTACTGTATGCACACATTCTCATGGGCCCTGCCAGGGTACATGATGTGCCAGAGTGGGGAGCAACTACTCAGCCAGGTACCTTTGTGCAGTGAGCAACCTGCACAATCATACTTGGTGAGATCATCATCACCCTATGTGCTCTTCTGGAAAGTGGCTCAGAACAGGGAAGCAGCACACCCAGGAGCACCTGTGTGCAGGTGGCCCTGGGTTCCATCCTCAGCACTGCAAAAAGAGAAAAATTTTAAGAAGTAGAAGCCAGGTGCAGTGCAGTGGTGCACATCTGTGTGGGGACAAGGGGGGATGGCACCTAGGGGGGGATGGCACCTAGGGCGGTCTGTGGGCCTGCATCAGCCCAGAGGACATGGGGGTACACAAAGCAGTGGAAAGGCAAATGGATCCTCACCTTGGATCAGAGGAAGGGCCCACAGTGCCCTGCCAGCTGCTACGGAGGTTCCCCTCTTCCCAATTTCTCCCAGGTTCTCAGAGGCCAACCTTGAACTCCCTACTAAGTTCCTGCACAGGAAATCCTCTCTCACCCTCTCTGGACCCCAGTTTTCTCCTCAAAATAGGATTGAACCCAGGGTGCGCTATCACTGAGCTCCATTCCTACCTGCCACAGTCTGGCTGGGCACAAAATCACGAGCCACTCACAGCTTTGTAGATTCAAACAGCAATTCTTTATTCCCGAACTCACACCGGCCCTCTACAAACACGTTCTGAATCCCAAATACTCTGGGAGCGGGCCTGAGGCAGCAGGATACGCCCTATTCCCAGCAGGATACACCCTAAACCTGGATCCTCCCTAATCCAGTAGGATCCTCCTTAAACCCGGATCCACCCTGGTCCTTGAGCAGGGTCACCTTTCTCAAACATACATGCAATGKCACAGCGAATGTCCAAGGCAAGTCCATTTCCACGAGTCCTTCCTCTAAGCAACATGGGGTACCCTGGCAAGGAAATTGTCATACCTACTTGGCTAATGGCTCTCAGCACCTACCCCCTCCTTTTAGTTGTAGATGGACACAACACCTTTATTTCATTTATTGGTTGATTTTTATGCAGTGCTGGGGATAGAACCCAGGGCCTCACAGGGGCCAGGCAGGTGCCCTACCACTGAGCCACAACCCCAGCCCTCTCCAGCCCCCTTTTTTTTTTGTCTGAAGCAGGGTCTCACTAATTTGCCCAGGCTGGCCTCGAACTTGTGATCCTCCTGCCTTGGCCTCCCAAGCTGCTGGGATGACAGACACGTGTCACCATGCTCAGTCCTCCAAAACTGTTGATACAGAGATCTCTGAAAGAAAAGGGTTTATTGAACCATTATGGATGTGAGCCAGATGGTGAGGGACAGGTTCCCACAACCACCAGCTGCACGGCTGGAAAGCAGCTGGGAAAATGCCCACCACATCTAAAAATCTGGAGTCATTATAATTAACATTTTGGGGAAAAGGAAGCCTAAATTGTTCATATTGAATCTACACTGGCTATCGATAGATAAGAGGGGAGGGACAAGGTGAAGCCAGCGGAGTTGTGGGACAGAAGGGCAATTGGGAAGAAGAGAGGCTGCTTCTTGACCGGCTGGGGCTGTAAAATGTAGTGACATTTTGGATCAACTCCTGGGGCTCTGAGTCAAAGCTTCAGCATGTTTGGGAACATGGAGCTGGGCTGGGGAACGCAGCTCAGTGGTGGAGCACTTCCCTTGTGTGCAGGTAGCACTGGGTTCCATCCTAAGCGCTGCAGACAGAAAAAAAAGTGGAAGCCAGGTGTGGTGGCACACACCTGCAACCCCAGCTACTTGGGAGGCTGAGACAAGACAATCACAAGTTCCAGGCCTGGGCAACTTAGCAAGACCTTAACTCCAAATGAAAAATGAAAAGGGCTGGGGACGGAGCTCAGTGGTAGAGCACCCCTGTGTTTAAGCCCCAGTACCAAAACAGATAAGCAAACAAACAAAACCACATTTTTGTTGTTGGTTTGGCTGAAGCTGTTAGATAATTAACTTATTTCTCCTCCTTTCCATCTTCCTCTCAACTTCGTAATTAAATTTAGGATATCCCAGAATTTTTATCTTTCTTACTTACAAAGTAAACCCTTGGTATCCAGCCAGGGTGGCCCGGGAGTGGGACAGCACCGCGCTGCTCCCTGTACCTATATGCATACATTCTGGCAGAGGGAAGATCCCAGCTCTCTCAGTCACAAAATCTCAAATCACACCCCACTCTGAGCCTCACTTTCCAATGCATAAAGGCAGAGAATCTAGCTGCTAACGGAGAGCCCCCTTCCGAGTCAGGGAAGGGGCACCCTTGCCCCCTGCCCTGTTGGCCACCACTGTGCTTCTCTCCTTTCGCTGCCAGGGAAGAGGGTATAGGTCCCTGCCCTGGGACTGCCCTCCAGGGAGCATCTTGCTGAGTGGTTGCCAGCCTGGCAGGCGCGAGGAGAAGAGGTGAGGTGAAGCGGGAACTCCACACTGTGTCTTTTGAGACCCTGGCCCAAAAGGCTTTTCAAAGAATCTGCAGCGGGGCCAAGCGCTCCTGGCTGGAACGACAGCCGCCTGCGGGGCAGGGTGCGCTGGGGAGCCGGGCCTCCATCTAAGGGCAAGGCTGGGGACCGCGAGCCCCGCCCCCGAGTCCCGGCGGCTGCAGTACCAGCTTCGGTGCGCGCCGGCCCCGCCCGCCCGCCTCCCTTTCCATCTCTTCTCCGTCAGGGTCTCCCTGTCCCTGTGTCTGCGACCCTCCTACAGTCCCGGTCCATTTGCCACTGGCCTATGTCAGGACTCGGTTTCTCTCTGAAGATCCCCCGCTGTCCCACGGACTGTCCCGCTGGTGGGTCCCAGCAGCCCCCTTGCATGCCCCAGGCCTGGGACGCTAGGCAGGGGACGGGGCGGGGCCCTGGCGGTGGGTCCCGGGCCACCCCCCGCCCTGCTCTGAGCATGCCCCCGGCGCGCTATTTAAGGCGGCGCAGTCTCAGCCTCCAGCAGTGCCACCGCCGCCGCCTCCACTGCACCCGCTAATCCGCTGCGCCCAGCTGCCTCCGCCCGCAGGTACCCCGGCTCCAGCCCGCTCGGGGGAGCCAGGGAGGGGGGCTGCGGGCAGGGGCGGGACGGGGACCCTCAACACTAACCCGCACACCTCAAGGGGACTCCAGGTGTCCCCTGCGGAGGGGCTGGGCCAGAACCCCCAGCGCAGCCGGGCAACCCGGGATGAGGAGCTCAGGGTGTAGGACCCTGGGGTCCCTGCGGCAGATATCTCTCCTCTCCTTGGGGCAGGGGTGGGGCAGCCTTGGCCATCTCCTAGCAGGGACAGGATGGAGGGTATTCAGCTCCAAACGCTTTAGGGGTTGGAAGATGGTGGCCGGGGAGCTGGCTACCCTGACCCCTTGCTTTGTCTCTCTGTCCTTCTGGCTCAGCCCTCAGTCTCCCAGCCTCTCCACCTGTGAGATGGTGAGTCTCCTGTGACCCCTTCCTGCAAAGGCCCAAGTCCCTGGATAGGGGGAGGGTCCAGAGGGCAGCAACTGGCACCCAAAGGCCTAATGCTGCCGGCAGCCCATGTGGACAGCTCAGACCTGTAACCAGCTCCACCCCCTTGGTTGACCTCCAGCTTAGAGAGCCTGGCCCTCATCTGCCCCCACAGCCGGGCACCCTCAACCCCTTGACATTGATTAATTCCACCCCACGTGCTGAGCACCACTTGTACTCCCAGCACCACTATAGTTTTGGGGACACAGTAGTGAGCCCACAGTCTGGGGCATCAGATGCTCTTTTCTGGGGAAAAGGGGCCCAGAGTTTGGCCCTGACCTTCTGGGACTCAAGCCAAACCTCTGCTGTCCCAGCCACAGATACTGTTTTGCAACCATGAAATGATCCCCCACTCCCAGCCTCATTAGCACCTCAGGGATGGGGCAGGGCAAGCACCAGGCACCCACCAGGCCCAGAAAGACCTCACACCTTGCCAGGGTGGCCTCGTCTACCCCCTGGAGTACAGGCCCAGCTGCCAGGCCTATCCAGGCCAGGAAAAATGCAAGGAATTAGTATCCCTACCTATGTCACATGGAGCCTCCCAGCAGCCCCATGTGGGAGTCAGCCAGCTTTAGAGAGGGGTAGGGGTTGGATTTCTTCCAAAGAAAGCAGCGTAGGGCTCCAGACACCTGAGAAGAGGAAACCAGCCTTGCCCTTCCTGGGCCTCACCCAGGTCCAGGGCACACTAGGTCCTCAAGGCCTATTTGGGGATGACAACGAGATTCACCCACATAGTTAGGTGGCAGCAAACTCCATGCTGGCAGATTGGGTCAGTGAGGCCCAAAGCAAAATGACAGTTCCAGAGTGATTGGTGGGCTCATTGTCACGGGTTCTCTAGCCAGGAAACATTCAGAACCATGACTGTGCCAGGCGCTGTTTGGGTGCTGGACGTGCCTCGATGAACAAAACACAGAAATGCTGCCCTGGTGAACCACACGAGGGCAGACCTGGTGCAGAGTGGGGGTGGCGGTCCACCCAGCAGGACATTGCATCCTTCTCTCCCACCCTGGGACGCCCCAGCCAACAGTTTCTAAAGCACTCCTCCCACATGATCCCCTGGGCAAGCCTTCACCCTCAACCCAGCTCTTTCCTCTCCAGGCCCCTTGAACGTGACCCAGGCTGGGGGGGAAGGCAGGCTTACACTGTTGGGGGAATTCACTCCCTTGCCCACCCTGCCCAAGACCTACTACTTCTACCCACCAGCTCTCCCTGGATCCACTGCATCCCCAGTGGGACTGTCCCCTGGATTCCAAGGACCTGGACAGAGAGGTGGGCCCATGGGGCGGGGGCTCTGGTGTACCGCCCACAGACTGCTTCCCTGGCTCCTGGCACCAGGATGTGGGCTTGGACTGCAAGGGCTCTCCCGAGGGGGCCGAGGCCCGGGCCTGGACCGTCTACTACTACAGCCTCCTGCAGASCTGTCTGCAGCAAGCTGGCCTTCCGGAGACTCAGGACCGCAGCCATGTGCCCCGCACAGGTGCCAGAGGGCTCCATGGGGGCATCCCTGGGGGCAGGGAGGGGCCCTCAGCCTAGAACTTCTATCTTCCCCCAAACTCTGGTGCCCTCTGAAGGTAGGGAGCTAAAACAAGGTGGTTGGGGGCAGGCAGGCATTGTTTCCAAAGGTATTGGTACCAGTGAGGTCAGAAGTCAGGTCTCTCCACTGTTCCCCCTGCCCCTGGAGATCCAGGCCTGGGATTTACTAACCAGGCAAACCACAACTCCTCCCCTGCTTTATCTGTTTTATAAATCAGGTGGCCACAAGTGATTCTGTGTGGACAGAGTTCACTATGAGGATGAAGTTCACCAATAAAATACATGAAAATCACAGAACTGGTCCCATTGTATAGACTGAGAAATTGAGGCTCAGAAAAAGGTTAGCTCTTCCTTCCAAGGCCACACAGAAAGTCAAAGCTTAGGAGAGACTCACTCAGTCTATATGCCTTCTGGCCCAGCTGCAGAAAGGGGAGCCAGCCTTATAGGGCAGGATAGGCAGGTAGTTCCCCTTCCTACCCAGCCTCCTCTGTCCCCTGTACTCTTTCCCTAAGGACCTGGAGGCCCAAGGGTGAGGAGGGGGGTGGGGAAGGTACACAGAAAGACAGCACCGAGACTCCTGGTGAGCTTGGCAATGTTCTCTTCCCCAGGCTGCCCTGGGGCAGAGGTGACCTTGTGCCTTCTGGGATCCCCCAGCACCTTTCTGTCTGTGCTGCTGGAGGGTGGGGTGCAGAGCCCGGGTGAGTGTGTACCCAAGTTCCCCACCCCCTCCAACAGAAAGGGCAGCCCCGCCCTGGCCCAGCCACATCCCAAAATACCCTCCAACCCTGGCAACTGCCCACATTCCATGGGACCGGCTGCCATACTCTGATTAGGGGTGGGTTCTGGGAGAAACTGCCCCTCACAACACAGGGGCTCTGGCTGGAGGTGGAGGGCATTGGGGCATTAAGCCACCCCTGGCCAGCCACCCGCCTCCCTCTGCCTACAGGAAACATGCTCCTTTGCCTGTCCCCTGCTTGGCTGACGAAGGTAGCAGCACCAGGGCAGCCGGGTGAGGCGGCCCTGCTGGTCTCCAAGGCTGTGAGCTTCTACCCAGGGGGCCTGACATTCCTGGATGACTTTGTCCCCCCTCGGCGTGCCACCTACTTCCTGGCAGGCCTCGGACTAGGGCCTGGCCATAGCCGGGAGGCAGCAGAGCTGGCCCGAAACCTGACTTGCCCCACAGGAGCCTCGGCAGAGCTGGCCCGGCTGCTGGAGGACCGGCTGCTGATGAGGCGGTTGCTGTCCCAGCAGGGTGGTGTGGCTGTGCCAGCTACCCTGGCTTTCACCTACAAGCCTCCAGCGCTGTTGCGGGGAGGGGATGCCAGCCCAGGACTACGGCTGGTGGAGCTGAGTGGCAAAGAGGGCCAGGAAACACTGGTGAAAGAGGAAGTAGAGGCCTTTCTGCACTCCGAGGCCCTGGGCGATGCCCTGCAGGTAACAAGCTCCTGATGTCTGCAGGTGCCAGCAGGAGGAGACCCATGAGTCCTAATGGGAAGCTGTGCCCAGGTTTTAACACTATCATTGTTCCATCCCTCTGGGGCAGTGCCCTGACCTCTTAGCTCAGTCATTGGCACCAGTGGCATAAACATCTCACCTATGCAGATATATGGGTGGTGGTGAGAAAACCCCTTTCCCCTCCCTGTGGTAGGTGGCTGTGAAGCTCAGTGGCTGGCGCTGGCAGGGGCGGCAGGTTCTGTATCTGCATCCACGGGCAGAGCGTGACACAGTGGTGGACACAGTGCTGATGTTGCTGGAGAAGCTGGAAGAAGAGGAAAGTGTCCTGGTTGAGGCCATGTGCCCATCTGTCCAGCTGCCCTTCCCAGGTGAGAGCCACCTGTGCCAGCCAGGGGCGGGAGCCTGGTGGTTTTGTGTTGGACTTAGACCTCTCCATCTTCCCCCAGGCGGTCCCTCTCCCAGCCCTGAGCTGGCTGTGCGAATTTGTACTGTAGTGTGCCGGACTCAGGGTGACAGGCCCCTGCTGAGCAAGGTGAGAACATTAAGGCCTGGGACATGACCCAGCCCCACTGATCTGATGAGGCCCCTAGCAATCTCTGGGCAAAAAGGACAAAAATCTTTGAGGGAATTTTGGTTATCTCTGGGGAAACCTCTGGGTCTGCTGACACTTTTTCCTTCCCCTTCCAATCCTCCTGAACCTCTCCTACTTTGGAGCTTCTGTCCCAGTACTCAGCTGGTTACTAGGGCTCAAGTGGCTGATTCCTTTCCCAGAGAACTCTTGCCCACAGAGTAGGGCTTCTGATAGCCTTCCAGTGACTTGAGGCTTAGACTAGCAGGGCCTCCAGGCTGGAGATGTCAGGAAGGCTTGGGGAACTTCCTAGGTACCCAGCTCTGAGCCAATCTGAAAGGGAGAGATTCAGTACTGCCAGCAGGGAGCCAGGGATGAGGCTTCCCAGGGACATGCTAGGGCTGGGACACACCCGGGGGGTGCTGCAAGACTAGAAGCAACCATGCTTGGAATTTTCTGGGAGCAGAAACCCCACCTGGGTCTGAAAGCCTGAGTCCCTGAAGAGTTCTGGGAACCAGATGGCAGTGGCTGGGGAGGGTGGTTTGAGTAGTTTGAGTCACGCTGGAGGATGCGCGCTTCTTGAAACTCCAGTGAGGGTGTCTGGATATTCACCCAAGAGGTGTGTGTGCATGGGGCAAGGGAGAGGGGCCAGTCCCCCTGAGCGGAACCTTGCCTAGGTGGTGTGCGGCGTGGGTCGTGGGGACCGTCCTCTGCGGCACCAGAACTCCCTGCCAAGTACGCTGGAGGTGGCGCTGGCCCAATTAGGACTGGGCGAGCCAGCGCAGGTGGCGGTCGTGCGGCAGCGCGTCAAGGCTGCAGCTGAAGCTGCGCTGGCTGCCGTGCTAGCGCTGGAGGCCGGCCTGAGCGCCGAGCAGCGCGGCGGGCGCCGGGCCCGCACTGACTTTCTTGGTGAGTGCGGGCGGCCGGGGCTGGGAGCCTGGGGGCGAGGACCGAAGGCCGACCTCGCTGAATCCGCGCCCCCCTGTCCGGCCCAGGAGTGGACTTCGCACTGACAGTGGTCGGCCGCGAGCTGACTCCAGTGGCCCTGGAGCTGAACGGCGGCCTGTGCCTAGAGGCCTGCGGCGCGCTGGAGGGGCTGTGGGCCGCGCCCCGCCTGGGGCCCGCGGTCGAGGAGGCGGCGGCGGCGCCACTCGTGGAGACCATGCTGCGGCGCTCGGCGCGCTGCCTCATGGAGGGGAAGCAGCTGCTGGTGGTTGGCGCCGGCGGAGTCAGCAAGAAGTTCGTGTGGGAGGCGGCGCGCGACTACGGGCTCCAGGTGGGTGGGGTCCTGGGCGGGGCCGGGCTTCGAGCAGCGGCCGGAGTGGTGGAACCGGTCTAGGGGCGGGCCTTGGGCGAGGGGGCGGAGCTGGTTAATAAGGCGGGGCCAGAAGGGGCGGGGCCTGCTCTAGACATCCTTGTTAGCGGTTAGGGCACTAAACTGCTCTCTCCCGCCAGGAATGAGAAGCCCTTAGGGAGAACACAAAGCCCTCCACAGAGAGGAGGCCGGAGTGGATGGGCTGAAGTGGGAAGGGGACAGGGACGGCATTTAGGGTTGGTGCCAGAGCCCACGTTTTGAATGCCAGGTTAGGGCGTCTGGTTCTGTCCTGGGGAAAGGGCAGGCTCTTTAGAATTCCTCCCCGCCGAGGGTGCTGGGGAGCAGCTTGCAGATCCCAAATCAAGTTTACAGCCGTGGCCTCACATTACCGAATCTGGAGCGAGCTAGACATTCTTATCCCCACTGAACAGATGAGAAAGCTGAGGCTTTCTCAAGCCTCCTCCACCACAGCAGCCTCCTCTCCCCTCACCTACAGTGAAACACCCCCTGGGGAACCCCTTTCCAGCCTTCCAGTCTTTTTGCTTCCTACCTTAAATAGTGCTTTAACCAACGGGAATGCCACCCTACTCCTGATGCCAAGTGTCCCTGTGCAGACAGGACCTCATCAGTGGCTGCCTCTGCCCTGGCTGTCGGCTGCTTTGTGTCTGTATTTCCCCAAAGCCATAAACTTTAGGGACACACGACTCCTCCCAGGGTACCTTCCAGTGGGCAAACCACCTGCTCCCTGCTCCAACCCTGGTGGCTTCTCTCCAAGCCTTGGTTGAGGCTTTTCTGAACTCTGCCATACCCTGTGCTCTTACCCTCCACCCCGATTCTCCCCTTCCCCCTGCAGGGCTCTGCTTCCTCCTCTTCCTTCTGGCTGACCTTATTCTTCAGCTTCCAGCTTAGCACTCTCTCTTTTACGACACTTTCTACCCCTTCCAGGGTAGGTGTCCCACACATTCTTTCAATGAGTCATCAACAAACATTTATTAAGCAGCTAGTATTTATGAGCCCATATCCCCTTTGGGCTGGGACCACAGGACATCCCAGGCTCCATCCTGTCTCCTCAGCACCCAGCTCCTACTGACTTGGGTGTGCTGCCCTCCTGTGGTTTTTGCAGCTGCACCTGGTGGAATCGGACCCCAACCACTTTGCATCCCAGCTGGTGCAGACCTTCATTCACTTTGATGTGACAGAGCACCGCAGGGATGAGGAGAATGCGAGGCTGCTGGCAGAGCTGGTACGGGCACGTGGCCTGAAGTTGGATGGCTGCTTCTCCTACTGGGATGACTGTCTGGTGCTCACGGCCCTGCTCTGCCAGGAGTTGGGGCTGCCCTGCAGCTCCCCAGCTGCCATGTGCCTGGCCAAACAGAAGAGCCGCACCCAGCTGCACCTGTTGCGCCATCATGGCCCGCCCTGGCCTGCACCCTCCATCCATGCCGTGGCCTGCTGTCCATTAGAGAGTGAGGCAGATGTGGAGAGGGCTGTCCACCAGGTTCCCCTGCCAGGGGTAATGAAGCTGGAGTTTGGGGCAGGTGCAGTGGGTGTGCGGCTGGTAGAAGATGCACCACAGTGCCATGAGCACTTTTCCCGAATCTCCCGTGACTTGCAGGGTGAGGCTGACCACCCAGGCATTGGGCTGGGCTGGGGCAATGCCATGCTGCTAATGGAGTTTGTTGAGGGCACTGAGCATGATGTGGACCTGGTGGTGTTTGGTGGGCGGCTGCTGGCCGCCTTTGTCTCTGACAATGGCCCCACAAGGCTGCCTGGCTTCACAGAGACCGCAGCCTGCATGCCTACAGGGCTGGCACCAGAGCAGGAAGCACAGATGGTGCAGGCAGCCTTCCGCTGCTGCCTGGGCTGTGGGCTGCTTGATGGGGTCTTTAATGTGGAGCTTAAGCTGACTGGGGCAGGGCCTCGGCTCATCGAGATCAACCCCCGCATGGGTGGTTTCTACCTGCGTGACTGGATCCTGGAGCTCTATGGTGTGGATCTGCTGCTGGCTGCTGCTATGGTGGCCTGTGGCCTTCGGCCTGCCCTTCCTGCCCATCCACGTGCCCGTGGCTACCTTGTGGGCGTCATGTGCCTGGTGTCCCAGCACCTGCAGGCATTGAGTTCCACTGCTAGCCGAGAGACTTTGCAGGCCCTGCATGACCAGGGCCTGCTGCGCCTCAATCTGCTGGAGGAGGCCCTGGTGCCTGGTGAGTATGAGGAGCCCTACTGCAGTGTGGCCTGTGCTGGGCCCAGCCCCGCTGAGGCCCGCCTCCGCCTGCTGGGTCTCTGCCAGGGACTGGGCATTGATGGGCCAAACTACCCAGTTGCCCACTTCCTGTCTCACTTCAAATAGCATTGGGGCTAGGGGGAAGGAATGAAATGCAGGGGGCAGGGGCAATGATGCCCTCCTCTCCCTGGTGATTGCCCTGCCTCTCTCCCTGTTGCCCCGCCCAACCCCCAGTGTGGTCCACTCCCCTTGCCTCAGGTCTGTCACAGAATGGCAGAGCCATTGAGTCTTCTAGGCTCAAAGACCATAAAATAAGCATCTGGAGGGCAGGGGTGGGGCCTCTTGCCCTCATGAAGGCCTCAGTTCAGCCCATGTCTGCTCCAAGACACTAGCCCTGGAGAAATAAAAGCACATGTATGCACACACACACACACACACACACACACACACACACACACACACACATGCTGCTACCAACTATCCTAGATTGGAGTGAGCCCTGACCCAGGCTCTCCTCTCCACCCCTCCAGATGATTCTCTATCTAGGAGGAGAGAACCTGGCTGGATCCCTGGCCATGGACAAATGCCAGGACAATTTGTGATTAAAGCCCCTGTTTTTCTCTTTTCCAAATTACATGAGTTTTATGGAGCCTGTTGAAAACTTCTGGCAGTGCCCCTGTCTCAACTGACCTGAGCAACAGAAGCAGGTAGCCAGGCTACCTCCTCTCACACTTCCAGGTAGACACTATTCCCATTCTACAGATGAGAAAATGGGCCCAGAGAGGAAAAACGACTATCACCAAGGTCATAACAGTGCATATTAATACAGTGCAATGGCCAGGTTTCTGTATTTACCAATTCTATGTGCCCATCAGCTTCCAGGCCTCCCACCTCTCTGCCCTCATTCATAAGCAGCTCTGAGACTCCTGAATACCCTGTACTTTCCCATGCACCATACACCTTCTCCACCAAGTGCTTTGGCCTCTGGCACACTTAACTAGCCCGGGCAGAGGGTGTCTACACTACACTCCCTTCCTCATTCAAGGAAACTGCTTTAAGGCTCCTGCCTCTGTCCTGCACAGAAGCTGTGGACAACTCTGCAAGCATTCTTTCCCCAAATAAATGTTTATGGACTACTGGCGTGTTTGGAGTCTGGAATAGGTTATCTCAACTGGACAACTCCCCCAGGCTTGGCAAGCAGAGGAAGGGGAGGGAGAAGTGGGTGGGGAATTCTGTAGCATCTTGAGCTAAGGAAAATCCATCCTACTGGCCAGGCCTCTAGGCTGATCTTTGGCAGAGGCCTGCCCTACACCTACATCAGGGCCCAATCTAAGGATTTCCTTTGGTGGGATTACAACCAGAGGCCGCATCCAACCAAATAAACCTCGGCCAGCCGGGAGACCCCCAAGTTGTGCAACTGGAAGCCATGATTCCCAATAGTCAGATCTCACACCCAGGTCTGGTCTGGTCCAAATTCACCCTCTACAGAGCCCATCCAAAATGAATCCATGCCCATTTTAATGTGTTAATTCATTCCTTTCAACCAAGTGCTATTAAGTTCCCTTTCTGTATCAGGCAGCCAAATTACTAAATGTGTTTAAATTAGTAAAAGTTCATATTGAAGAGCTCTGAATTCTTTAGGGCAGGAGTCTGGAAACGGAGCCCAGCATTGGATAGCACAACCAGTAAATGTATGACTTGTAGGACCTCGATGCGGAGGTTGATTAAGAAGGTCCTACAGTTACTCAGGAGCGAGAAGAGAAGGACGCGATTTGCCTCTCACTTGGCAGCCAGCTTGGCAGAGCACAGTTCCAGCAGATTTGAAGTTGCACTTACAGTCCTACACCTGAGTGCACTTTTGACTCTACCCAACCAAACTCAAACTCTCCCCACCAAACTCAAACTCTCCCCAGAGCCCAAATGGGCGCCTCCAGGCCTCTTCTGCCTGGTGCAGACCGCGGGGAAACAGTGCTGGGAACACAGAGTCCTGCTGACAGGCGGGGCTGGTGCGGCACTCGCGGACTACAACTCCCGAGAGGCCTTGAGGCAGACGCCATCTTTCCTCCCCGTCAGGCTGAGCGGCCTGCGCGAGAGAGGGCGGGGTTGCTTTTCGTCATCCCTGCGCGCGGTGGCGGTGACGGTCGCTGAGTGATAACGTACATGCTCGGGACTCGGGCTGTCAGTCAGAGCCGCCAGATCCCCGTGGAGGGGCCCGCCGGGCCGGCGCGGCCATGGCGGCCGTGTTCGATCTAGACTTGGAGACCGAGGAAGGCAGCGAGGGCGAGGGCGAGCCAGAGTTCAGTCCTGCGGTGAGTGTTTCGCCTGGTCACGACTGGGTTGGAGCCGAGCTTGTCACCCGGCCGAGACCTGAGCCGTGGCTGTCGCCGCCCAGAGTGGGCTGAGACCCCTTCAAACGCCGGTCCTCCTCACGCTCGGACCCACGCCCTCCCAGACCTCGCTCCCGGCTCCCGGCCTTTCGTCCTCTGCTCCCCAGCACTTGCCCGGCCCCTGCCCTCTCCCATCCCTGGCGCCCTCCTTCTCTGGGCCAAGCAGCCCAGCTTGGGGTGGCAGGAGGTATCCCGGCACCTCCCTTGGTCTTACCTCTCAGTTTCTCACAGGACGTGTGTCCCCTTACCGAATCGAGGGCTGCCGGCCTGGAGTGAGTGAGGGTCTCTTGGGGATGGGGAATGGAGTAGGGAAGGGGACCTGGGGAGCACTGGGCCTTGCTCCCCTTAACTTCTTGTGTTCGTAGGCCCGTGGGACACTATGAGGAGGTGGAGCTGACCGAGACCAGTGTGAACCCGGGCCCTGAGCGCATTGGGCCGCACTGCTTTGAACTGCTGCGGGTGCTGGGCAAGGGGGGCTATGGCAAGGTACAGTGCCCTCCCTGCGGCCTCAGCCCCATCTTGTCAGCACAGGCTTCTCGGCATAGATTAGACTTGCAAATCTGATGGGATTCCATAAAGGAGAATAGGGCAAGCCCTCCAGAATCAGATGAGATCTTTACTGCCCCACCCTTGGGTGACTTGAGGCCTCTTGGTCCCACTTCCAGAGCTTGAGGGTGGGGCTTCTTGAAGATAGGGTGTGGAGAGGGAAGTTGATCCTGTCTCCCCTGCCCTACAGGTGTTCCAGGTACGAAAAGTGCAAGGCACCAACTTGGGCAAAATATATGCCATGAAAGTCCTGAGGAAGGTGAGTCATTCACTCAGCCAGCAAATATTGAGTGACTGCCGTCCCAGGGTACTCTGCCAGGTTTTGGGAAGACAGCAGTTCTGAACACCATGGAGGAGTTGGGCCCTGTGTTTGGCATTTGCTAGTTTATTATTATTGTGATGTGTATTGTTTTGTGGTGATTCCCAAAAGGGGGCAGTTTGCTGCCCAGGGGGTATTTGACAATTTTAGGCAGAATTTTTATTGTCAAGACTGGAGAGGAGAGTGCTGTGAGCATCCAGTGGCATGCTGCTTGCTTGCATAGATTGCTGCTGGACACAGGGCACAGGACAAAAATCCCACAACAAAGAATTGTCTGGTCCAAGGTATCAGTAGCATTGAGGTTGAGAAACTCTTTACTGAGGATAAACCAGTCCCTGAAAAGGATGACTATTGACAGCAGAATCATGGAGAGAGTCAATGGAATGACAGAAGATGGTAGAGGATAATGACTGGACACCAAGAATACTTAATGTTACAGCCTAGCGACCTTCAAGAAATTCCAGTTGTCTTTGTCCTAGCCAGATCCTGTATAGAGGGTTGGGGAAAGCTCTAGAAAAGACTCACTGTGATCAGGTTTGACCATTGGTACCCCAGTTTCATGTAATGATTATAGGGCAGGGGACGATGATATCACTGTGGGTCCGCAGTCAGACCTAGAGTCCATACACTTTTAGGACCCAGTTGTATTTAAATATTTATTGAAAACAAAATAAATGGGCTGGGGTTGTGGCTCAGTGGTAGAGTACTTCCCTAGCATGTGTGAGGTACTGGATTTGCTTCTCAGCACCACATATAAATAAATAAATAATAAAGGTCCATTAAAAACTAAAGCAAAATATTTTAAAAAGAAAGAAAACAAAGAATACTATCTCCCATTTGCACAAAGGCACTAGCTCCTCTTTTGCACAGCCTAGCATTTGCAGTTGTGTTCTGTTGGGCCATTCTTCTGGAAAATAATAAAACAGAACATGGGACAAAAGGAAGAGCTTTGCTTGAGGGATGGAAGGAGTGCTGGGTGCCCCACCTTCTAACCAATCTCTGCATCTTAGGCCAAAATTGTGCGCAATGCCAAGGATACCGCACACACACAGGCTGAACGGAACATTCTAGAGTCAGTGAAGCACCCCTTTATTGTGGAACTGGCCTATGCCTTCCAGACGGGTGGCAAGCTCTACCTCATCCTGGAGTGCCTCAGTGGTAGGTGTGCAGGCTCAGCCAGGCCCTGGTGGGGTGGGGACCAGCACAGAAGCACTGGGGTTTCAGGGAGTCCTGAGTGGTGTGGTTGTGGAGGACATCTAGGGGACCCCCACACCCATCACCCATACATCTGTCCACTTGTCCACATATCCCTTCATTCATTCAGCAAACGTCTGTCTAGGGCCTGGTGTGTCCCTCAGCTGTTTGTATAGAAATCCAGGGGGTAGTTTTACCCACTTCTGCCATCCCTTCTGTCCTGTCCTCTCCCCTGTGTGCCCTACATCCAGTTAGGGTCCCATCTAGCTGCATCCTCTTTGGTGTGCCCCATCCCCTCTTCTCTCTCAGGTTCAGGTGGGGATCGCAGTTGTTTCTTAACTGAGCTTGAGGCCCTGGCTCACCTGCTTTTTGGTGTTTCCTCTGCTAACTGCCAGAGTCATCTTTCTGGAGTGTGATTGCTTCTAACCCTTCCCCTCAGAATCCCATGAGTCTCTAGCTTCCCAGACAAAGCCTGGCCTCCTTGTCCACTCCCCCTCACTGCACAGCAGTCCTGTATCAGCTGAGCTCCGTGGGCCTCTGCTTGCACGTCCTGCACTGTTCCTCCATCTTAGCACCCTGAGCAGCCCAGCCACACTGCACGTTCTGTCTCTGGTGTTGGGATTATCTTAATCTTCCCTGTCTGCACTGTGAGGTTCTTTGGCAAAGCTCTTGGACCTGTTGCCTCAGCCTGGCATTCTAGAGCAGTGTGCACGTGTCTGTCTCCCCACTAGACTGAGCGTCCTGAGGGCAATGGCTGGGTCTCCTCATCTCTGCCCCCAGCACAGGGCCAGGCACCGAATAGGCGTCGGTAGATGTTTGCTGAATTGATTTGAGTCCCCACGGCAGCTCTGGGAGGCAGGTAGGGCAGGATTTGCAAGCCCCACTTCTCCCAAGAAGAACCCAAGACTCAGAGGGAGCATTGGGGCTGGGTTCTGGAGCAGGACTGCTGATGTGATTGTGTCACAGGTGGTGAGCTCTTCACACATCTGGAGCGAGAGGGCATCTTCTTGGAGGACACTGCCTGGTGGGTGTGAAACCTGCCCCTCCCCCAGAGATCCTAGCCCTTTCCCCATACCACTCTCACTCTATCCTGTCCTTGCAGCTTCTACCTGGCTGAGATCACACTGGCCCTGGGCCATCTCCATTCCCAAGGCATCATCTATCGGGACCTTAAGCCTGAGAACATCATGCTCAACAGCCAGGGTGTGTACTTGTGCATGCACACACTTGCAGCTGCATACACGGGGTCTGCAGGGCAGGCTGGGAGGCTGCTGATGGGGCAGGTCTGACTACCCCTCGCAACATTCTTCCACAGGCCACATCAAACTGACGGATTTCGGACTCTGCAAGGAGTCCATTCACGAGGGTGCCGTCACTCACACCTTCTGTGGCACCATTGAGTACATGTAAGTGGTGCCTGACTGGCCTAGGGGTCAGGAGGACAGCCAGAGAGGGCCTGGCCTGACTGACAGTTCCACCTGGCCCCCAGGGCCCCTGAGATCCTGGTGCGCAGTGGCCACAACCGGGTGGTGGACTGGTGGAGCCTGGGGGCCCTGATGTACGACATGCTCACTGGATCGGCAAGTCCAGCCTCCTCGGGAGGAGGGTGGGGGGCAGGGTTCCCCTCTGGGGCTGGGGAAGGTCCTGGGGAGGCCCACAGGCGCCCCTCACCTTCTGCCTCCCCCAGCCACCCTTCACTGCAGAGAACCGGAAGAAAACCATGGATAAAATAATCAAGGGGAAGCTGGTGCTGCCTCCCTACCTCACCCCAGATGCCAGGGACCTTATCAAAAAGGTGGGCTCCCTCCTGCCCAGGGTCAGGCCCCCTCATCTCTTCTCTCAGGCCCTGTTAGCCTTTGTATACATGTCCTGGGCTATGGGGGAGCCTGTGTAGTCCCTCTGGGAGGGAAAGGAGTGCTCACTTGGGCCAGGCCTCAGCTCGGACAGACTGCTGCCCCAGTAAGCAGTAAGCCCCGGCTCAGCCCTCATCAGACAAGGGTGCCCTATGAGCTGGTTGCTCTTTCCCCCAGAAAGGCTGGTGGCTGGGGTGCAGAGGGGGAGGGCTCAGCTCCATCAGGTTTTAACATCAGATCCTCACAGTCTGCCCGGGTGATGCCAGCAGCGTGGGAGGCCTTGCAAAGACTTGGTGCAGAAGGTACCGTGGGACCCAATCCTGAAAGTCGTGAGGGGCTCAATAGGTGCAGCCACACTCCAGAAGCACCCCCTGCCCTGCCTCACCTTCCCTCACCACAAGTGGGCCCCCAAGAGCTAGGTGCACACACAGCAGCGCCTCCCCAGGCCCTCCCTCACCTGCTGCCCTGGTCCCACAGTTTCTGAAGCGGAATCCCAGCCAACGGATTGGGGGTGGCCCAGGGGATGCTGCTGATGTGCAGGTGAGTCTGGGGCCAGACGAGACACAGGGAGTTACTGAGGGGGCCAGGCAGGGWGAGCTGCTGGCCCATCTCGGTGCGTTCTACCCCAGAGGCACCCCTTCTTCCGGCACATCAATTGGGATGACCTCTTGGCTCGCCGTGTGGACCCTCCTATCAGGCCAAGTCTGGTGAGTGCAGGTCATGTTGGCCCTGTGACAGGCAGAGGATGCCCCTTGGACTCCCCCCTGACCCTCCCCACGTGGATCTGTCCACAGCAGTCAGAGGAGGACGTGAGCCAGTTTGACACACGCTTCACACGGCAGACACCGGTGGACAGTCCTGATGACACAACGCTGAGTGAAAGCGCCAACCAGGCCTTCCTGGTGAGTGCTGGGGGTCTGGAGGTCGTGGGGACCCGGACAGGGATTGTGGCTGAGGGGTAATGATGCCGCGCGCTGCCGGCCTCGCCTCTCCCCAGGGTTTCACCTACGTGGCACCCTCAGTCCTGGACAGCATCAAAGAGGGCTTCTCCTTCCAGCCCAAGCTGCGCTCCCCCAGGCGCCTCAACAGCAGCCCCCGAACCCCCATCAGGTACCAAGGCAGCGGGAAGTGTGTGGCTGGGACAGGGAGCCCCGGCAGACAAGAGGCTAGCTAGTTTGGGGCTGCTTGGCCAAGGCTCTTAGCCGGGCCAGCCTCAGTTTCTGCCTCCCACGGGACCTCAGTCCCTGCACACTGGTGGCAGGGGCTGCCTGGATGGCAGTTGGTGGAGCACAGCCTGTGTGCCCAGGCGGTGGAGAACCTGCCCTCCCTGACCCGGTGCAGCACCCCTGGCAGGGCCTGGGAGGCTCTGACTGTGCCTTGGTCTCCATTGTAGCCCCCTCAAGTTCTCCCCCTTTGAGGGGTTCCGGCCCACCCCTGGCCCACCAGAGCCCATGGAGCCACCTCTACCTCCACTGCTGCCGCCGCCGCCACCACCGATCTCGAGCACTGCTCCCCTCCCCATCCGTCCCCCCTCAGGGACCAAGAAGTCTAAGAGGGGCCGAGCTCGCCCTGGGCGGTAGGAAGGGGGTGGGGCACTGGCAGCACTGAGGCCTTCCCTGCAGCTGGACTGGCTGTGTCTGCGGGGAGCAGGTGCCTCTGTCAGGGGTGGGTGAGCCCCAGAATCATGTGTCTCGAAGCCTCAAGCTACCACTGCTGGCAGGAGGGCCCCACTGGCCACCTGGGGGCTACCACGTTCAGTTGTGCCCTTGCAAATTAAAGGACTGAATCATGGCACTGATTTTTGTGGTGTTGGGGATCAAAACCAGGGCCTTGTGCATGCGAGGCTTCTGCTGGACTCTCAGGGTGGGTGGGTTTGTGCCAGGAGCCCCTGCTTAGAGAGAGAAGGGGACACTATAGGACCACAGAACCACAGGGTGAAGAGGTTTTATTTCAAACAATGCCCATGGGGTGGGTGGCCTTTGGAGGGGGTGGGGCTGCACAGGCCTGGGAATTGGTGGGGATGATGGTCCAAGGTGCTCCATGAGGTGGGGGGAGTGACAGCAAGTCCAGGGCAGGCTGTGTTCCACTGTGGCACTTGGGAAGCAGAGAGGCTGTAGCAGGGACCGGACTCTGAGGCTCGCCTCTATAGAGCTGTAACATGGAGGCCCTGTCCCCCTGATGCCCCGGCGCTGTCGTCCCAGGCTGCACTGCCTGAGAAGGCGTGTAGGTCACTCAGCAGGGCCTCTGCACTGCCCCCTGAGCCCACTGGCCCCTGGGAGCCAAGACCCAGGCCCCCTTCCACATCGCTGTCCTGTGCTTCCTCAGCCTGCTCCTGGTGGGGTCCTGTTCTGCACCGCTGCCCCTCTTCCTGGGGTCCAGCCTTCTCTGGGCCACCATCCGTGATGTCCTCATCTTCTGCATCCTGCTCCTCCTCCTGCTGCTCTGGGTCATCTAGTGGCCCCAGCTCAGTGCGGGCCTGCAGCCAGCGGCCTGGGGGGCTGGCCCAGAGGAGGCGGCGGGTGCGGCCCCACAGCGCAGCGCCTAGGCGGGCTGGGTGGTAGTAGCCCCCCGAGTCGCGACTGAGGCGGCGCCAGGCCAGGGCCAGGGCAGTGACTAGCAGCAGTAGCAGCAGCAGCAGCAGCACTATGGTGACAGAGCTGGAGCCCTCGCTGTCCTTCGCATCGCCCGAACCCAGGGCCCCTGGCAAGGCCAGCAGTGTGCCAAGACCAAGGGCACAGAGCAGAGCCTGCAGGAGACAGGTGGGGGGCTCATCACCAGGGGTGGCACCAGGCAGGGTGGCCAAATCTGCTTTCTGTTCCTCCAAGAAGGTCCACAGTTGCCTCTCAGGCAAAATGGGGACAGTCAAGCAGAAAAGCCCAAGTTCTTATTTGGTCATGGCCCTGGCCACTGTCATGCGCCCCTGCCCCTAGGCACCACTGGTCTTACTCCCAACCACCCTGGCCTGCTCTTGCCTGGGCCTCCACACTGCCTCTTCCCTCTGCCCAGAATGCTCCACTCCAAAAAGCCACATGGCTACCTGTGCACCTGGCTTAGGCCTCGTTGAGAGGACTCCTGGTCTAACCTGGATTACAACCAGCTGGTCATTAGTACATCACTCCCTGGCACACTTTTTCTTTTTTCTTTTTTTTTTTTTTTTGTGGTGTTGGGGATCAAAACCAGGGCCTTGTGCATGCGAGGCAAGCACTCTACCAACTGAGCCATATCCCCAGCCCYCCACCAGCACTCTTGATGCCCCCAAACCACTATTTCTCCCGTCACATCTTATACAGGAAGTACTTCTACTCATCTTTTTCTGTTGGCCTACCTCCCCCAGCAGAGTAAGCTTTAGGGAGATGGCATTTTGATGACCAACCACCTATAAACAACACCTGGCCCATAGTAGGTGCTCAATAAATCTTGACTGAGTCTGGCAAAACTCTGCTTGGGGGTAGGGGGCCTGCGAGGCTGCTGTCAGGGCTGGACCAACCCAGAGGTAACCACCTCCCCTCTGTTTACTGGGTCCCAGGATGGAGGTCCTTGAGGCCCCTCTTCCTCCCAACCACAGGGGTGCCCCAGCTGTAAGGTTTCCGCTCAGCAATGTGGCCTGTCCCTGAGGCTCTCAGGCGTGCAGGGCTAGGGCTGGGGGGTGGCGGGTGCACTGACAGAGGAAGCCTGCGGTTGGAACAAAGCAGGTGGGGAGTGATGGCAGGGGGAGGGGAGTGTACAAGTCTTTAGCGCCCTAGGCTCCAGGGATAGGCGCAGGGCCCAGCTCAGCTTGGGAGGACCAGTGGAGCTCTATCCCAGGGATCTTGAAGGGGCGGGGCCTGGAGTGAGGTAACAGCACCTGCATCGAACCCTAGGAAGCCCAGCTCAGAGGTGAGGGGCCCAGCTTCTGCCTGTGCTGGTTCCGAGTCATGCCTCTATCCCTGGGTCCCAATGATGGTGGGTCCTTCTTAGCTCTTGGGGCCCCAAGTTCTAGCCCCAGTCTCCTATGCTCCTGCCCCAAGAACCCAGTGGCAGTGCTCACCATTGGTCCGCTGGCCTCACGCTGGGTGCCCACCTCCGGCTCTGGCTAGGTTGAGTGAGAAATGAGCCCCAGAGCTCTAGTGCAGCTGGGGGTTACCCGACACTTCCGCTTCCTGTCCACAGTACCCACCCACTCTTGCCTGCTACAGGACCCTGGTGGGGCCTCCACCTCTCAGGACCACCCTGCCCAACACCAGATCCTCACTGGCTTTTCTGGGTGAAGCTGGGACTAGGGGGCTGTGACCAGGCCTCCCAGAGGATGCACCAGGCACCAGCTCAAAGCAGGATGCGGCTGCGGATGARTCCGTTCTGGCTCAGCGTCTCTGCCTGACAATCCGGGAGCAATGACATTGGCTGCTCACAACCCTCGACTTTCTCAGATCTCTGACTTCTCTGCTCATCTGTCCCCACATTCCAGACCCTCTCAGCCCCCGGTTCAGCAGGCCACCAGGCTTTTAGAAAGAAATTTATTTGGAATGAAAATATAGAGCCCATCCCTGCCACTTCCTGTGGGAGGCAGAGGGGAGTGAGCGGGTGGGGCAGACGGTCCCTCAGAGGACAAGCGAGCTTGCCTTGGTACAAAAACCCTCCACAGAACAATGACAAAAGCCAGGCAGTGGTCGGGATGGGAACTGGCCCCTGACCTGCCCCAGAGTCCCTTGGCAGCCAGTGACCCGCTATGACCTGCCAGCAGAAGCTGAGTGAAAAGGTGTGAAGGAGGAGGAGGGGACGGAGGGAGTGGCATCGCTGGTGTGGTCCTATGCGTCCCCATTCTCCATGCGGCCCAGCTGCTCCTCCAGGCGGCAGATGCGCTCCCCTTGCTCCTTGACCATGGCCCGCAGTGCCCGCAGCTCCTGCATCACCTCCTCTAGCTTCCCGGCCTCCTGTGAGGACATCAGAAGTCCATTTACTGCAGCCTTCCCCAAATCTACCACCAACCAGGCAGAGGCCCGAGGCCCAGAGAGGGCAATGTACGGTTCAAGTACACACAGCAGACAGGGGCAACATTGGAACTTTCCCAGCACCACCTGACTGTGGGACACATACCCCAGCCCCAACAAGGCTGCCACCCGAGGTGGCATCAGCAATGGCAACAGCAGATATGGAGGACCCTGGGCGGGTGGAGCTGGAGAGCCGGCTGTCCGATAACACGTTGCGCCGGCTGACCTTCAGGTCCCGCTGTTTGCTGGGCACGTAGGCCTCCCGCAGTGAGATGAGGATGGGGTCTGCGTCCCGCCCGCTCACCCACTCCTCTGCCTCCAGAGCGGCTTCAGGCCCAGCTGTGTCGGGGTACAGATCATCCTGGAAGAGGTCAGACTGCAGCAGGGAGGCCAGGGTCAGCTGGAGCCCATCAGTGACCCTGCGTGGCTGCCGCCTCAGGCCCTCCTGGGCTCCAGCCTGGCACTCTCGACCTTTCCCCTCCTGGCTTGGCCCTGCGAGCCCTTCTCAGCCCAAGGCCTGCTTTCACTTCCCTCCTGCTGGTGCAGGCAGTTCCCCCAAAGCCTTCCCAGCCTTCCTTCCTGAGCAGGGCCTGCCACCACCCTCCCCTGCAACCACAGGGGCCAGTGAGGTGGCTTCGTAGGATTCTGGGGGACACACTTGTGCCCCGTGGACTGTGAGCTCCTGGGGCAGGCCCTACCGCTCTCCCTCAGCTCTGCTCCGAGACGTGCCTGGCACAATGCGTCGAGCACTCAATGGACGCTGGCTGGAGAATAATGGCAGTGTGTCTGGGGCTGGGCATCTGAAGCCAGCCTGTGGTTCCTCCTCGCGGGACTCTCCCCAACAGCCAGACCCTCTCTCTCCACCCTCCTGCAGGAGGCCTTCCATGGCTGCTGCTCTGCCCTGACTGCCTGACCCCTCTCTGTGGCTCATCTGGGCAAGGCCTCAGCTTGCCCTGTGTCATTCCTGCTTGTCCCCTGCCAGGCACAGCCCAACCCCTGGCTGGTACCAGGGCACGAGGGCATTTGTGCAGCCCACCAACCACACCCAATCACAGGCCCCACTCCAAACACCCTCAATGGCCAGTCTGCTAGAGGAGGGAGCAGGTGGCGTCACCTTTCTTGGCACAGTCATGACAATGGGTTCACACTTGCGCTCATGCAGTTTGTAGAACCTGGGAAAGGGAGGGCATGGGTGGAATCCCCATTAGTTCCCCCAGATCTCTCCACCCTCCGCTTCCTGTCCTCACTTGGACCTTCCCACGGGCTGACCAAGTCCCGACACCCCTTGTGCAGGCTGCCTACCTGCCCCAACAATTGCCACAGGCTAATCCCTGAGCCTCCCAACTGACCTGACACTGGGTGCCCACAGCCTGGTCTCTGCTCTCAGGCTGAGTCCCCAAGATGGCTGCCACAATGGCCCCTCTTACCGGGCAATCTCACACTTGCTGACCTCCAAGCCCCTCTTGGGCATACTGCCCATGCCCCTCTGGGGCTCCTTGCTGGTGAACGTGTTCAGGAAGTGGATATAGGGGGACTCGTCTGTGATCTCAAAGTACCGGATGCTGGAGTCGCCCTGGGGGGGCAACAGGGGGTTCAGCTCTTGGCTGTGCACCTCCCCTGCCCCCACCAGCCATACCCAGCCCCACCTTGCCACAGACGTAGACCACACTGGTGTCGGGGTCGTAGAAGGGCAGCAGGGCCCCGTTGCTGGAGTCTAATTCCTGCAGGGCCATGGGCTCCTCGAGGTTCTCCTGGCACATGGGAGGCAGTGAGGCCAAAATTGGAAATGCCCACCAGCAGTGGCCACAGATGGGCTCACATGCCAGCCAGCACTGCCCCAGCATGCCAGTGGGTTCTTTCCCCCTCCAAGCCTCTGTCCATACCAGGGACCCCAGCAGACCCCTAGCTTCTCTCCACCCCCAGGGGCCCACCCTCCCAGCCTCCTGCAGGCCTCAAGACTACTCCAGGTCACTGAGCAAGTACTGAGAAGGTCCTCACTACAGGGAGCTTGAAGGGGCTGCGTAGCACAGTCCCTGGCTCACAGGGGCCACAGAGCTCACTGTGCAGAAGCCAACAGGTGTGGGACAGGGCCCTGCAGGGCCAAGCTGAGGACCTGGGAACCACAAGCCTCTGCATGGTGACCCCTGCCCAGGATGGAGCCAGGTTGGGGCCCATCTTGAGCCTGCCTCCTCAGGCCAACCATGGCCACTCACTAGGTCCCAGAGTGCCAGCTGCCGCTCACTCATGCGGCTGAAGCCCGTAGTGAACACCTTGCCATCTGCCAAGAAGATGGCCCGCATGGGCCGGGCCCCCTCATGGGCTTTCTCCCGCTCCTGTGTGAGAGACAGGTGGTTAGTGTAGTGCACAGATCAAGTCCCTTGGCCTGTCCACTGTCCTCAGCCCCCAAAGCCACATACTGCCACCAGGGTGCCCCGGCGGGGGTCAATGATGCGGACACTCTTGTCCTTGCAAGCTGAGCAGAAAAGGCTGCCATTGCGGTTCCAGCTGACATTGTAGATGAGGTCAGGGTGCAGGGTGTCCAAGCGGTACAGCTCCTCCGCTGTGCCCACATTCCAGATGAGCACCACATTATCACAGCCTGGTGGATGGAAGGCCATCAGCCCAACAGGTCAGCTTTGCCCACTCCCCTGGGACTGAACTGGGCCTCTTGACCTCTGCACGGCTCAGCTTCCTCATCTGTCAGATGGGCCCAGGAGAGACCACTAGGATGTCCCAAAGCCACATATGGAGAGGGGTGTGGGGGCAGGGTAGGGAGCGGTGCAGACCTGCACTGAGCAGCACGTTCCGGGCTGTGGGGTGCCAGGTCACGATGCCCACACGTTTGGTGTGCCCTTCTAGCACCACCACTGGCTCTGTCAGCGGGGAGGCCAGCCCATTCTCCGGGATCTGCCACACCTGTGGTAGAGATGGGGCTGCTGGGCTGAGGCCTCTGCTTACCCCTGCTGCCAGCAGCCCTGGGCCACACTGGAGAGCCTGGCCCAAACAGTCCTGTGCCTCACCATGACTGTACAATCCTCTGAGCCGCTGGCAATGACTTCATCATTGTGGGGACACCAGTCGATGTCCAGGACAGGTCCCGTGTGCCCACACACTGTTGGGTAGGCCTTGTCAATGCGGCCTGTCTGCAGGCAGGAGGGGGCAAGTCAGATTCCCATCTCTATGGAGGGGGGATGGGGTTCACTGGGGGCCTAGATGTGAAGGTGCCCCACCCACTAGCTGAGCAGGAAGTGCCTGCTGCCTCTGACCTTGACTCAGTGGCAATAAACACTGATTCCACCTGCACAAACACCTCTTGGGCAGTAAATCTGGATTGATACCTGCCTAGGGAGAGGATGGGCAAGGAGGGGGCTTCAAAGTAGGACCTGCTGCCAGGAGTGGTGCTGTGCTTCTGGCCCTCCCCACAGCCTGCCTCCCTGTCCCAACAAGGCCCACCTTGTTCAGGGGAAGCACCAGGAAGGCACCCCCACCACTGGCTTCCACAATTACTGCCAGGAACTTGGGGTTGACTGCGCAGAAGGTGCTGTCCCAGGTAACACGGGACACGCGAATGTCCTCGTAGCATTGGTCGTTCTTGACCGGTTGGCCAAACACATGCCGGAATTTGCTCTGCCGAACCACTTTGCGAAAGGACATGTCTGCAGTGCAGAGAGGCCTGGATCAGCCCCGTCCTCACGACCCTGAGCTTTCCCACGGGTGCTTGAAGGGAACACGGAAGGATATGGCTGGGGGCCTAGGCAACATCACCCGCCTGGGTCTCAGTTTCCCCAGTGGCAGAATGGGACTCTGGCAGGCTCCCCAGGCGGTGATCTGACAGGGTAAGTACGACCACCCCTGGTGCTGGCCACTGCTGCGTCCTAAGGGGCTTTGAGAAATCTCCTTGGGACCCTCCGTGGCTGCGGTGTGTGTGGGGGGGTATTTCTGTAGGTCCGCCCGGTTCGGAGCAGACCTTCCGGGGACGTGGAGGCTGGGTGTCGGGAAGGGAGGAGAGGAGGCAGGAAAGGTCTCCGCACTGTGGGGCGGAGGGAGGCCCAGTTCTGAGAACCAAGGAATGTGCAGGGAGCTGCAATTAGCCCGGCCCACGGCCCTGGCTGGACCGGCGGGGGTCACGGCCGCGCTGCGGGCGGAGGGACATCTCGGAGCGCGGTTCCGGGGACCCACTTCCAGTGACCCGGACTCAGGAGGGCAGAGGCTGCGCGGCCGGGGGAGTTGGGACCGCGGGTGGGGCGCTGCGGAGGGGAAGGGCCCCTGGGCCTCGCGCCCCCGCCCCGGCCGCGCCCCCAGCCCGGCCCCGCCGCGCTCACCGCTCACCGCTCACCGCTGACCGGGGACGCCGGGGGCTGCGGCGGCGGCCTCGGGCAGCTCGGGATCCCAGCCTCCGGGAAGCAGGAAGCGGGAATCAGGAAGTGACAGAGGAGTGGGAGGGAGCGGGGCGGGGGCTCGCGGGGGCGGGGCCGAGGTCACGCGCGGAGGGGCGGGGAGAGTGGGGGGCGGGGCCAGGAGGGCGGAGCTCACGAGCCGCACCTGCAGCCCCCGGGCCAGCGGCCGGCCGGGGTCGGGCTGCGGCGGGCCGAGCGCGCTGCAGGTGCGTCGGCGGGAGTCGCCAGGATGGGCTGAAGCCCGGGGTCCGGATCCCGCACCTGGGGCCACGCCTCCTAGGCGTCCCAGGAACGCCGCCGCCCCGCCTCCAAACAGTGTCTGCTCCTAGTTTTGCTGCCTGTTTTTAAGTTATAAGCATGAGTGCTCTCGGCTCAAGGTGTAGATAAAGCAACACTCGAAGGAGCCAGGCAGGGGTGGCCCAGCGGTCCCATTCTTCCCGGTGGACACTCGTGGGTCTTGCAGCGGCTGCTTCTTTTTTTTTTTTCTTCCAGTGCTGGGGATAGAACCCAGGGCCCCAAACATGGTAGGCAAGTGCTCTACTCCTAAGCTCCACTCCAAGCACTTTTTATTTTATTTTGAGACCGAGTCTTGCTGCCCTCAAACTTGGGCTCCTCCTAAGTCGTTGAGCTGCCAGAGCTTCTTACTAAAAATCAAAATGAGGCCATGGCCTGAAGATCCCTGGCACTTTCCTTTCTTTCCTCCACCACCTCCCTGGAGGCCTGGCCATCAGTCCACAGGCCCCTCCCTCCTAGATCCACCCAATCCTGTCTCACCCTGGGGGACTTAGGTGTCCCGGTAGGTCCCACAGGCAGTGGTTGCCAGGTCTCTCTCAGGTCTGTGACCCTGAGCACTAGTTACTTCCTCACCCTGGGAATCCACCGGCCTGGGTGACTAAAGGGTGCTGGCAGAGTCTCTTTCCCAGGAAAAGAAAAGGGAGACGGAAAACGCAGAAGAACCCAAGAACCCCTGTAAGGGCGGCTTATCTCTGGCGGGATGAAGAGCCCTGTGTGGGCTGCGCTCGACCTCCATCTCATTCCCCTTGCCGCGCCCTGTGAGGAAACAGGCCTAGAGAGGCCAGGCGCTCGCTTGGGTCACCCGCCAGGAGTCAGCCTCCATCCATTTGGCTCCAAGTCCTTGTGTTTCCCACTGCTCCACAACCCCTAGGTTGGGCTGGCCTGGCAGGAGTGGGGACTGGGAAGCAGCAAGGAGGTGTGTCCCGGGCAACAGGCCAGGGTCTGTCTAAAGCCCACACCAGCCCCTGAGGCCCCAGTTCTATAAACCCCCCTCATGTGAAATACAATCCCAGGTGTATGTCCCATCCCACCCTGCCTCACCTGTCTGACCCTTGTTCAGCACCTGTCACCCACAATAGCCTCTCCCTGCTTGTGACCCAGTGATGCTGACCTCCAGTCCCTGAAATGTACACCTTCACTCCAACCTCAGGGCCTGGCTGGTACCTGATGGTGCATCCTGTTCTCTCCTTCCTTTTGGATGCTCTTTCCCAGGTCTTGAAGTGACTCTGTCTCTGCTAAGGTGACACTCCCCCCACCCTGCAGTTCTCTCCCTGCTACCCCTCTCACCTGGCCATCTCTGGCTCTACTTGTTCTCATTGCCTTTTTTTTGGGGGGGGTAATGGGGATTGAACTCAGGGGTGATTTACCACTGAGCCACACCCCCAGTCCCAGAGTTCCAGTACTTTTTATTTTTGTTTATTTATTTTTATCTTTTCATGGTGCTGGGGACTGAACCCAGGGCCTTGTGCATGCCAGGCAATCACTCTACCAACTTAGCTATATCCCAAGCCCTCCTTTTTATTTTTTTATTTTGGGATAGTGCCTTGGTAAGTTGCTGAGGCTGACCTCAAACTTGTGATTCTCCTGCCTCAGCCTCCTGAGTCACTGGGATTACAGGCGTGCACCTGATTCATTGTTCTTAATAGCTACTGGATGCTATATTTTGGGAGTATTTGTGTATTTGTTGGTGTCTGCTTCACCCTACCAGGATGTCAGCAAATTGAGGGCAGGGGTTTTGTCTTGTTTCCCACTGTACTTTCAGCACCCAGTGAGGCCCAGCACCCAGAATGCGACCACTTAATGTATAAGTGAGCAGCAGCCCTGAGTGCAGAATTGAAAAATGTTCTTGTCCACAATTCTCACAATCAATGTCTGGTAGCTTTGCATGAGAGGGAGGGGCTCTCTCACCTACAAAAGGAAGGAATCTCCCAGAAGGCCACAGGAACCTGGTTCCATGGGGTGTGTTGGGGTGAGGTGAGGGGATGTAGAATGTTTTGGGGGTGAACGAGCCCTCTCTTAATGTCCTCTTTCCTCCAACACAGACCATCTCTGTGGGTCACTAGGAGAACTCCTCTTTTTCCTGCAAAACCCTTCAGGTCACTGCTCTTTTCCCTGCACAACAATTTTTCATTGTGGGAACAATTCCCCTTGGGGGCCTTGGAGGTGGGGCTGGCTCCCTCCCCAAGAGATCGGGTTTAAGATGTGCACTGGTGTTGAAGGTGGGTGGCTGGCACATGGGTAAATCCCAGCAACGCGGGAGGGCAAGGCGGGAGATTTCAGATGCCAAAGTTCCAGGCCAGCCTAGTGACTCAGTGAAACCCTGTCTCAAAATAAAAAAAATAAAAAGGGCTGGGGATGTAGCTCAGGGTAAAGCCCTCCGGGGTCAACTCTCAGTACCAAAAGAAAAAGAAATAAAAGGCTTTGGAACCCCTGCCAGGAGAAAAGAGAGAAGCAGGGGCACAGCAGAATGCTCCAAGGGGACAGAAGTCCACCTCCCTCAGATGTGCCCTGTGACTGTCAGAAGAAGGGCGGGGCTTGTGGAAGAAGAGGCAGTGGGCGGGATGGGAGGACAGTACCTGGTGGGCACTGCTCTCAGGCTGGCTAAGGCCTGGGGTGCCCACTGGCATCATCATGTTGATGGGTAACAATCATTGAGCACTTACTCTGTGCCAGGCAATGACCCAAGCACTCCATAAAGATCAATCATTATGATCCCCATTTTGTAGGTGAGCAAACTGAGTCCAAAAGAGATCAAGAGCTTTGCTGGAAGTCACCCCTGCGGAATGGTGGAGCCAGGAATTCAAACAACCCCTGAGGGGTACCAGGGACCCTCCTGAAGCCTGCCCCCGTGTTTCCAGAATAGAAGCCCAGCCAGAAAAGCAGCTGGAAAGTGCAGAATAGAGACTTGTCAGAAGAATGAAATCGACAAATCCACGCCTGTTTGGAGATCCCCCAGCCCCGCACACACCAGGAATCCGTCACTGAGGAATGCGATGATCATGCTCTGGGGTCGCCACCATGGCCACCCATTTATGGCCTTCCTGTGCCAGGGGGTCATCCATGGCCACAACCAGCAGCCCTGCAGGGGCTCATCCACCCTAACTAAGGTAAGAGCGAGCTAGGAACCCCAACCCAGGCAACACATCAAACGTCATCAACACCGGTGCCTTGCCCTGAGGGCTCCTCAGCTGCCCAGTCAACAAGCCTTGCTAAAGGGACAGAGTGGGGAAGAAGGGAAGGGAGGGGACTCGGAACCCTGGGGGGGGGACAGGTGGGTGGGAGAGGGTGGGGGGATGAAGGGAAGCGCAGGGAGACCTATGGCACTTTTGCTTTCCCTGTGGGGTCTGCAGTGGAAGGGGAGGAGCTGGCTGGCCTGAGGGCTCACCTTTGCCATTCCTGGGACTCCTGGTGCCCTGAGCTCTGTGCCCTTTGCACAGCCTCCTGCCTCTGCCCTTGGGCTCAGATGGGGGGAATTTGGGGCCAAGGTGAGCTGTACCTGCAGCCCCCACAGAGAGGAGAGTTGAGCAGCCCTCCCTGGGGTTGGGGCACAGGTGGATGCTAGTTGGACCCTTGAACAGAACCCGACCTTGAAGTCCCCTGGAGCAGGCCCAAGAGCAGAGGTGGCTATGTGCTCTCTCGGGCCACTTGGGTGTCCGCAGCCTAGGCTGTTCACAGAATCCTAGGTCACTCTCCTGCCTGCCTCCTCCCATTCAGCCCCGGTCCCTGTGTGCAGGAAGGAAGAGGACACCAGCTCACCGAGCCCTTGCCTAGTGCCAGGCTGCTGTGAGTGCCTTGCACACTTTTTCATTTAATTCTCACAAGAGCTGATGAAACAGGAGCTAAGAAAGAGAGGTAACTTGTCCCCCATCACCCAGTCAGGCTGTGGCAGAACTGGATTTGAATCCAGGCTTGGTAGCTCTTGCCTCTTTTCTGCCTGCCCTGTGAGGGGAAATCCTGCACCAGCCTCACTGTCTGTTGGAGGCAGGCAGGAGATTGGTGGAGAGGACATGGCTTGTGGGCCACTAGGGCCTTGGGCCCTGCTTGGAGCCACAGGTTCATGGAGGCCTCCCTTTTCCGCAGGAACTTTTCCATTTGGTGTTCTTGTGTCTAGGCTGGAGGACAGGCCAGAGGAGGACAGGGAGTGAAGGATGAAAGGGAGATCTGATTGGACCCAGGGAAGTCCCCCTGTTATCTTCCTCCAGCAGGAACAAGGCACAGAGGAAACAGGCGTCTAGGGGTATTGGAGGACAGAACAATTCGGACACCATTAGCTGTGGCCTAGGGGGCTGCTGGGTGACTGTGTGTTGGAACAACCATGGAAGGGCTTGGTGTGCCCAGGGTCGGGGACTCACAGTGAACTCTCTGGGACTTTCACATGCTTTGTTTCACTTCCCTCCTTCTAGGCCCGAGGGACTCCGTGGGAGTTTTAGTGGTGAGTCCTTCATGGCGTCCACCATGGCTGGTTCTCTGGCTCCCTCTGGCTCTTCCCCTGCCCTGGAGGGCTGGACTTCCCTAGGCCCTCACGTGGGGCCTGGGCTGGAGGCTTCCTCTGGCGGGGCACTGCCAGGGCTCTCTCCCTCAGGGACAGCCTGTGTGGCTGGGTTCCCCGAGGCTCCCGAGGTGGGCCCTGGGGATGGGCCAGGGGAGGCTTCATCACAGGGGGTGGCGGCCAAGCCGGAAGCAGAGGCAGGGGTGTGAGCCTCAACCACTGGCTGTTCCTGGGCCACAGCATCCGACCGTGTCTGGGCCGTGGGGCTCACCTGAGGCAGGGCCACGGCATCCAGTCGTGGCTGGGCCGCAGCCATGGGCCCTGGCAGAGTCGGGCCCTCAGAGCCCACCTGGGGCTGGGGCTCAGCTGGCGTGAAGCTGCCTGGCTGTTCCTCGCAGAGAGCGGCTGCAAAGGAGGAGAACACGGCGCGCAGCAGGGCCCGGAGGTCGGCACTGGCCACGAGGCAGAGGAAGGGGCTCAGACAGCTGTTGAGCAGGATCAGGTAGTCCGAGTAGACCAGGGCCTCCCAGAGCAGGTACCCGGGGTAGAGGTCCCACAGGAAGGCCAGGTACAGCAGCTGTGCCAGCTGATAGGGCAGCTGCAGGACCACATAAGCTGACAGAATGGTCTTGGCCACGCGGGCAAAGCCAGGGCGGGCGGGGGGCCGGGGCTGGTGGCGGCAGAGGGTCCTGCAGGCGGTGGCCTGGGTGAGCGCGTGGCACACCAGCAGCAGGAGGAACGGCAGGAAGCCCCCCAGGATCTCGAGCATCCGCAGGGGCAGCTCCTCACTGTCCCAGAAGTCCAGGCAAATGACCAGGTCGTACCACCAGACGGTGGCCTCGGGGAAGACCAGCCAGGGCACACTGAAGAGTGTGGCCAGCACCCAGACCCCAGCACAGACCCACAGGGGCAGACGGGCCGGGCGGCGCCCAGGGTACCAACGCGGGCACAGTGCCAGCAGGCAGCGGTCCAGGCTGAGGGCTGCCAGCAGAAAGAGGCCAGAGGAGTAGGACACACCCCACAGGAAGTAGTAGAAGCGGCAGGCAGCTGTCCCCAGTGGCCAGTGCCCTCCATGCTGGATCTCCAGAATCTGAAAGGCTGCTGCCGCCAGGAACAAGAAGTCGGAGAGGGCCAGGCTGAGCAGGAGCAGGGCCAGCCTCGTGCCCGCCCCATGCCGGGCCTGGGAGCCGGCCAGCCACGCCATCAGCCCGTTGGCTGGCAGCCCCAGGAGCAGCAAGGCCACTAGGAAGACTGTGTCCCAGCCACCCTGCGGGTAGTAGTCCTCATCGTCCAGTTCTGTGCGGGGCCCACGGCCAGCAACATCCAGGTTGGCTTCCATAACAGTGTCCCCAGTGTGCTGCTGGACATGGACTGGGCACCTGCTGGATGAATGAAGGCACAGATGACTGAGTATGAGACACAGGGCATGTGCATCTCCCTGCCAATCACTGTCCCTCCCTGATCTTGTCCTTGAGTAGTCATCTCCTGCCAGGGACACCTCATGTAGTCCTCTGAGGACCCATTTTATAGATGAAAGAAGGTTCATTGAGTTAGTGAATTGTCCAAGGTCATGGACAGGAAGGAAACTACCAGAACTTAAGCATCTGACCATGGAATCCATGAGTCCAAGCAGACCAACAGAGGCTTTCAAACACTGAATCTTTTTTTTTTTTTTTTTGGTGCCAGGAATTGAACCCAGGGGCCCTTAACCACTGAGCCACATCCCCTGCCCTTTTTATTTTTCATTAAGAGACAGGATCTCACTAGTTGCTTACAGCCTTGCTAAGTTGCTGAGACTGGCTTCAAAGCTCCCGCCTCAGCCTCTCAAGCTGCTGGGATCACAGGTGTGTGCCACTGCTCCAGGCCCAAATCCACTGAATCTTGTCTCAATAAAACATAGTGGAACTCCTATACGAGCTAAAAGGACACTGAAGAGCACCCCCCAGGGTTTCAGGGGACAGAGTTTGAAAACCAGTTGATCGGCTCTTCACAAGATCCCTTTATGCTTGATTTTTCTGGGGTTCAAGTGTTTAAAATTCCAAGAGGGGGAGGCTCTGGAGGCCCATAGGAGTCTAAGGCTGGGCAGGCAGCCCCTCCCTGCATGCATGCTGCTCAGGAATTTGGGGCGAGGTCTGAGCCTCAGCACAGGCAGCTAGGGGACCTATCCCAGGAGCAGTGTGCGGCTCTTCAGCATTCTCTGCCCCCCACCCTGCCCTTTCCTGCTTTCCAGAGCTTAGGCACAGGTAGCTCTCGAAGAGGGGGCTTTGCAGGGTAAGGAGGGGGAGATGCAGTTGGGGATACCCAGGTTGGGAACTCAAAAGGCCTGTGGTCCCCACCGCACCTTCTCCAGCCAGTGGACGGGAGTGAGCATTCCTCTGAGGTGGTAGTTAGGGGACAGACCAGATGCCGGCTGGGCTGGATTCCGCCTGGGGCCCACGGCGGCAACCACTTTAGCCCCTGGCTTCCCCACACTTTGGTGCTCTTGCTCTGCAGACCCCTATTGGATCAGAATCCTGGGCACCCTCCCCCAGGGCCCTGGCCATGGTGCCTGGCTTACCTGTGAGATGCAGGCAGCAGCTGGCCGGAAGGAGCAGGGCGTGCCTGCTGCCCAGCCGCCCAGCCACCCACCACCCCACGCCAGGGCCCGCTGCGTGGCACTCTGTGACATGAAGGCGGGCAGGCAGGAAACCCAAGCTGAGAGGAGATCAATCATTCATGGGACCGCTCTCCGGGAAACCCTAACCCTGGCCCAGTAGCCAAATGACCAGCCAGGGCCCCCATCCTGACGGGGCCAGACGACAGCACCATGCCTGGGCCCCTCCCAAAGGCTGTCAGCCCCTGAGGATCCAGCTCCACTGACACTGCACCTTGGCCCCTCTAACCTGGCCCCTCTTTTCGGTGACACTTGCCCTCTGTTTCAGCCAGGATGTCACCTCGCAGGGGCCCCTGGGGGCAACTTATCACCCCCTTTCCCACCTCCCCCTTGCTCAAGTCGCCATCTCCAGATGAAGAACTGGGACTAGGTGTGTTCCACAACCCGGTTTCCAGCCGCAACGTGGCAGAACTGGAGTTGGAAACTAGGGGCAGCCACATGTCCTGCCCCTCTCTGCTGAGGACAGTTCTGGTGACCAACCTGGCATTACCCTGGCCACCCCAGGGCAGGGGGCAGGGATGAGGTCCTGGGCCGCCTGCCTACTCACCCTAATCCCCCTCAGGGCCCATCCCAGGCGATCAACTCTAAGGCTGGGGGTGCATAAGCAGCTTTATGGGTCCCAAGAGCCAAGGGTGCTCAGGGACGCTGTGCTCCTGAGCCCTGCCATCCCTTCCTACATGGCCACAGAGCAGAACCCCCAGAAGTCCCCTGAGGGGGTTGTGGCCCCTGGCAGTGGTGCTGAGGGGGCCCCCTTGACTAGGAGGAAGAGCAAGAAGGAGAGGGGACTCCGAGGGTCCCATAAGGGCAGCTCTGGTGAGCAGACTTCTGTCCAGGGCCCTGAGGCCCCAGGGAACAGCAAGAATCCTTCAAAGACTGGAGAGGGGCAGGGGGGGCCACCCCTCACATCACGCCGCCAGTCCCATCGACATCGCCCTGACCCCCAGCAGGATGCTGCTCAGAGGACATACGGGCCCTTGCTCAACCGCATCTTTGGGAAGGTCAGGGGCTTGGGCAGGGCTGAGGGTCTCGAGGATGTGGGTGGAGATTCCTATTCCTTGGGGACAGCCCTCCTGGCCCCTAAGTACCTGGGCCCCCTGCTTCTTCTGCTCCAGACTCGGGGTCTCAGGCGCTGGTGCAGTGGGCAGAGCCAGGCTTCAGAGCTGGGGCTCTGTGGAACCCACTCGAGGTGCCCGGGGCACAGAGTAAGGGCTCTTTGCTCCTGGGACCCTCGGGACTTCAGCTGCCTTTGCCCCTGGGTGGTGGTGGTGGTGGGTGGCCCTGCGCAGGAGCAGGAGCACAGGCAGGGGCTGGAGGAGGAAGGACAGACAGAGCCGGGGCTGGCTCTAGGGACATGCTGCACTATTGCCCACAGGACCGTGAGCTGGGCCCAGAGGAGCGGGAGGGTAAGTGTCTCTCCTGACTGTGGGGGTGGGGAGAGGTGTCCCTGGGCCTGGCCACCTGCGCAACCTCTCTCCCTGACAGAGCTGCAGGCCGCCTTCGAGGAGTTTGACACTGACCGGGACGGCTACATCGGCTACCGGGAGCTGGGCGACTGCATGCGGACCCTGGGCTACATGCCCACCGAGATGGAGCTCATCGAGGTCTCGCAGCACGTGAAGATGCGCAGTCAGTGCCGGGCCCTGCAGGGCGGCTGGGTGGGAGCCTGCCTGGCGGTGCCCAGCTCAGGGCAGCCCTGGTCTCCAGGAGGATCACAGGGGGAGGCGGGGTGGGGGGGGACTCCAAGAGCCCGTCAGGGGCCGTGGTGGGTGCGAAGGAGAGCCTCCGGGGTGGCGACAGGACCACATTGGTCCCATCAGGTGTGGGGACACCAGGTCCACGCTGCAGCCTCCTGGTGAGGGGAGCGGGGCAAGGGTGGGAGGTGGGTGATCCAAGAGCGGCGTCTGGGGCTCAGGCCGAGGAACCTGGCCTCCGGCTACGGCTGTGGCCTCAGCACACCCTTGTTCCTTCCACCTGGGCCTGCGCTGCCTCCTGTCCTGGCTCCTCCTACTGGGTGAGGCCGGCTGTCTGCAGGGACTAGCAAGGCTCCCTCTCTCCCACCCTGCCGTCCTCCCCATTCCTTGGGGCAGCTGCCTGAATTGAGGTCACCTGGAATACAGTCTCAGGAGGCTCAGTGAGGCCTGGTGTGACAGTGCCCTGGCTGCCCTGTGACTAAGCGCTGTGAGGTTATCATTGCTGCTTTGTCCTGGGGCGATACCAAGTCCCTTCATTCCGGGATCTCTGTGGGTTATTTTCTTGCAGTTTCTAAAACAGGCATGTGATTTGTGACTGGTGTGTGCTCGCAGGGCTGTGCTTCCTCCTCTCCCCCAGAGCTGTTATTTGGCCACCGGTGCCTTATACGATTGGCAGCATCTTAGAACCGAGGGACTGCTGGAGGAGGGAGGGGCTAAGCTGCCCAAGGCCATGCATCTCAGCAGCAGAGTCCAAACCCTGGTTTCTTTCTCCCATACCCGGGTTCTTCACAGAAAGCAGAGGCAGCCCCAGTCCCCAGCAGCCCAGGGGACTGAGTTCCAGCTTCCCACCCCGCAGTGCCGGCATGGGATATGTCCTCCTGAATGCAGAGCCTTGGGGGGGGGGGTTTGCACCCTCCCTTTTGATGTCCCATTTGGGGCCAGATTGTGACACTGTGTCTGGGTCCACAGTGGGTGGCTGTGTGGACTTTGAGGAGTTTGTGGAGCTGATAGGCCCAAAGCTGAGAGAGGAGACGGCACACATGCTGGGGGTTCGGGAGCTGCGCATCGCCTTCCAAGAGGTGTGGAGGCTGGGTGGGCCTCAGGGGGCAGGGCTGGACAATGTCACTTCTGGGAGACTGGTGGCCTCAGTCTTCAGGATGAGGCCCAGGGATGTGCAGAGAAGGCTAGGCTCATGTGCAGCTGGAGGCATGAACTCTAGAGCCTTCCAGAATCAGGAGGCCCCATCTTGGCAGGGGAGGATGGGAAGGTTTGGTGGGTGAGGTGGTGGTGGAGGTGGCATCTTGCCCATAGGCAGTGAGTGGCAAGAGTGGGGCTAGTAGAGGGGAAGCTTAGGGTGGGTAGAGCTGAACTGTGCCTGGACCCTAGTTTGACAGGGACAAGGATGGGAGAATTACAGTCACAGAGCTGCGGCAGGCAGCACCGCCTCTTCTCGGGGAGTCACTGGAGGGTTCTGAGCTGGATGAGATGCTCCGAGACATGGACCTCAATGGGGACGGCACCATAGACTTTGATGGTGAGTCGCCTCCCAGTCACTCCTGTCCCTCCAGCACCCAGGAGGATCCCACTTTCTGGACAGGCCCAAGCCCCACCCCTCTCTCCTGCAGAGTTTGTGATGATGTTGTCCACCCACTGAGACCTGGGGCCCCAGACACCAGCAGGGCCCGGGATACACATCCTCCCCCCCACGAAGAGGCTCCAGGATGGAAGAGACCCAGAGGCCCCCCAGGACCACACACCACCAGGGGTCTGCTTGGATGTCTCAGCCACCTTTATGCTCACCTACCCCTGCTGGAGCTGCCTGGACGAAAACCCGCCCTCAACTGCCCATCGTCTCCACTGTGGGTGAAGTTTGGATCTCTCCCAAACCTCGGCACAGGCAGTGTCCCAGCAGGGGGAAGTGTCAGCGTGTCCCCAGTAACAGTGAATCGAGAGGGTGGCTGGATCCTGCTCATTCCTAACATATATAAAATGTCTTTTTTAAAAATGGACTTGAAAGAAGGGGATGACCCCAGTTTCCAAAGAAAAGAGACCAAAGTTTGGCACCTGGCTAGAGGCTTGGGGGCCTGGGCTCTAATACCCACGAGTGACAGAGACCTACACAAGTCTGCAGGCAGGGGCAAGAAATGAACCTCACGGATACATTCCAGGGTCTCAAAGAGCTGCCTTGTTCCTATCTCCACCGACCAGTCTGGGAAAGTGGCAAGGGTGCAGATGTTTAGGGCCTTGTGGGGAAACAAGTGATCCTCGAGACAGAGGGGCAGGGACGATGGGGCATGTGGAAATCTTTGATGCTGTCCTAGAGAAGGCTAGGTTTGTTGGTTAGCATTAGACTCTGTTGACCACTTAAGGGAAGCCATTAGTACAACAGGAATAGACTGTTCCACTCAATACTCAAATCAACAGAGGAGGAAAGGGGTAGATGAGGAATCTTGATTAAACCAATAGAAAGTTGGGATAGAGGGTGAAAAAGGCAAAGAAAAATAAAATATATAGAAAATATTAAGACAGAAAGTAGAAATAATCCTTTAAAATCAATTATTACAATAAATATAAATACATTAAATTTGTTAGTTTCAAGCCAGAGAGTCCCAGTCCCCAAAGAAAGTGCTAATGGTGTGGGGGTCTGGCTTGTGGTAGAGTACTTGCCTGACATGTGTGAGGCCCTGGGTTTGGTCCCCAGCACCACACACAAAAAACAGAAAAACAAAAAATTAAAAAATATTAGATTATTTTTCTTATAACTCACCAAAAACAACAGTGTTTTAACCTGGGTAGAAATTTGCTTGCCCAAGAAAAGTCTGTAGGTGGAGCCCAACTGTCTATATTCTTCAAAGACCCAGGCTCCTTCTGGCTGACGGCTCTGCCATCCCCAGGGAGTGCCCACATTTATTTGTTTTCCTGGTGGCAGGATGGAGTCAGGTAAAAAGGAGAAAGAGGAAAAGAGTATGAACAATCTGGCTGGCCACAATGGTGCACACTGTAGTCCCAGCCATTTGGGAAGCTGAGGCAAAAAGATTGCAAGTTCAAGACCAGCTTCAGCAATTTAGCAAGACCCTGCCTCAAAATAAAAAATTAAATTAAATTAAAAAGGCCAGAGATGTAACTCAGTGGTTAAGTGCCCCGGGGTTCAATCCTCAGCACCTGTGCCTCCCCCCTTTACATCCCAATAGACACAGCTTATCACCTGATACACCTAGCTGCAAAGGGTATTGGGAAATGTAGTCTTTACTTGTAAGGTCATGTGCCCAACTAAAAATCAGGGGTTCTTCTACAAGGGCAGAGAGCAGATACAGAAGGGCAGATCTCAGATTCTTCCCCATTGGTGAGTCAAGGATGCAGAAGACACACTCAAAGAATAATGACAAGTGGAAGGCTGAAACTGATGGCTCAGATAAAAGATTTACCAGGAGAAAATTAACCAAAAGAAAGCTAGTATAACTATGGGAAATCAGATAGAAATGAGCTATGGGGCAGAAGCATAAGGGATAAATGGAGTCATGATTCACTAAAGAAATCTATATGTTCCTATTAATGTCTTCAAAAGAAATTATATGCAGTATATATTTAGAGTTTAGAAGTATCACTATTCACGGGCTGGGGCTGGGGCTCAGTGGCAGAGTCTTGCCTTGCATGTGTGAGGCACTGCATTAGATCCTCAGCACCACATAAAATTAATAAATAAAATAAAGGTATTATGTTCATCTACAAATAAAAAAGTTTAAAAAGAAGTATTGCTGTTCACGCAATTTGGGTTGGATAAATTAACCAGAAAAATTTACGCCCTAGGCTGGGGGTGTGGCTTGGAGGTAGAGGGCTTGGCTGGCATGCACAAGGCCCTGGGTTCCATTCCCAGTACCACAAGATTGTGACTGTGTTGCCTACCTGCTCACTGAATAGTTTTTGTAATTTTTCTTCTTTCCTATATTTGTTCTAAGATACTTTTCAAATTGCAATTTTATGTGAGCAATCTGATAATACTGTGGGCTTAGAATCTGTTTGTCTGGATTTTTTTCGAGTTTTTAATCTTACAAAACTATTGGTCTATGATGGATTAGAAATGTAAACTGGGGGCTGGGGATGTGGCTCAAGCGGTAGCGCGCTCGCCTGGCATGCGTGCGGCCCGGGGTTCGATCCTCAGCACCACATACCAACAAAGATGTTGTGTCCGCCGAGAACTAAAAAATAAATATTAAAAAATTCTCTCTCTCTCTCTCTCCCTCTCTCACTCTCTCTTTAAAAAAAAAAAAAAAAAAGAAATGTAAACTGGGGCTGGGGATGTGGCTCAAGCGGTAGCGCGCTCGCCTGGCATGCGTGCGGCCCGGGTTCGATCCTCAGCACCACATACCAACAAAGATGTTGTGTCCACCAAGAACTAAGAAATAAAATATTAAAAAAAAAAAAAAAAAAAAAAGAAATGTAAACTGGTCCTTGCCCACAGCTAGTTTGGGAACATTGTTTAAAGAGTTCCTTCATTCAAAGGGGATTGAGGGTGGGGGGCCTGGGTCGGCCAGGACAGCAGGAGTAATGGTGGGGATCTGGGTGTTTATTCATTCAACAAAGGTGCAGGACTCTAAAGGTGTGCGCTGTCCTGGTGCTGCAGACTTGGGCAGGTGGGCAGCCCCTCACTAAGCACACTCATGTTTAATTTGGGGACAATACACTCCTTTAGCTTATCCTTAGGTTGGGAGGTAGGGGACACGGGCCTGGTTTCCCTCTCTGGCCTCTCCCCAAGTGTCACAGAAAGGTTCCTGGGCCCAGGGCGCTGGAACCCTGGCTTCTGTTTCTGTCAATTAGCCTTGTAAGAACACGATGAATGGTTGCTATGAGCTTAGATTTTAGGGTTAAGATTGTGTTTCTTGGTTCCTAAGGTTCTGAGATGCTTTGATTTTCCAAAATTCTGGGATAGTCTGTTTTTAGCATTCTGAGGTCTTTGATCCCGAGGCTCTCTGTCATGAGGCCCTGCTTCCCATGCCCTGTTCCCTGGTTCTCCCAACCTCTGGGGCTGGGAAGTAGGGCAATGGACCCAGGGGGCTGGGCCACTGCTGCCTCATGGCCCACATTCAGGGCTGGCTGTGGCGGCCCAGGGCCCAGAGCTGGGACGAGGCTAGCAGCCTCCCATACAGGTGCTGGTGCTGCCTCTCTGGGCAGACAGGGGTGGGCTGAGTCTGCTCGGGGCTGGGACCAAGGAACACTGGAACTGCCACTTCCAAGCCCAGCTTTGCCCCCAACATATTGTGACCTCAGGCAAGTCTCAGAGCATCAGGATTGTCCTGCACATCATCTGGAGGTCGGTGATTCTAGAAGCCCTTTAGTCTAGCATCAGGCCTTTTCTCAGCCTTGGTGTAAGAGGCCATGGTCAGGCTGGCGGGCTGGGCCAGGAAGAGCAACTATCCCTGCTGGAATTAATGATCCTTTTATTAGCACAAAATAACATCGACTCAACACTCCAGGGCCTGAGAATAAGTTAAGGCACAAAGCAGGCAAGGGGTGGTGCCCCACACTTCCTGAGCAAACTCCTGGGGGTATGGGGTTGCGAGGGTCCCAGAGGACCTCTTCCCTTGAGAAGAGGCGCACAGGTCGGAGTAGCCTCCCCGCACGCGAGGCGGCGGCCCGGCCTCCCGGCCTCGAATCGCAGGCATCGASCGTCCCGCCAGCGTCCCGCCAGCGKCTCACTTCTCGAAGTAGGGCAGGTAGAAGAACTGGAAGCCCCGGTGGCCTTTGACGGCGCAGTAGATGAAGATCACGTGGTAGACTGAGGGGCGGGGCCTGTCAGTGCGAGGCTCCGCCCTTCCCCGCCCCCCGCCCTGCCCTGGCGCCCGCTCGCACCTCCTGGGACCAGCAGCAGGAAGCCTGGCACGAAGAAGATGGCGCTGGAGACACCTGCGGAGGGAGGCGGGCAGGCTCAGGGCGAGGGGCCCTCACTCTGCCGAAAAGGGCCCACCAAGGACCCACGGGCGCAAAGCCAGGGCTGCTGCCTTCGGGTGGGAAGGGGCGCTCACCTGGCGACGGGGCCGCCTCCAGTCCCACGCCGACCAGGATCAGCGCTGCAGACAGATGGCCGCGGGGTGAGGGCGGGACTTCCACCCCCACCCCGCAACCAGGCTCAGGCTGAGGAATGGTGTCCCCCGCCTGAGCAGATGCCCCTGGGTGGAGACCCTCCCCAGGAAGTTCACCAAGTTCTATCTTCAGAGCAGGGCACCTGGCAGGCCCTGGGGAATGTCTGTGAAATGAGTTTGGTGTGACCTGTCATTCTGCTAATACTTAGGGGACACCTCCTGCATGCATGGTACTGGGAATTCCCAGGCGAAAGGCAAATGAGGTCTCTGCCCTCATGGCCCTTCCTTAGTGAAGGGTCCAAGGAGAACCTGAAAGCTATAACCCAGGGATATGGTGGGGAAGAACAGGGCAGTGTGGGAATCCAGAGGAGTCCTGCTGGAGCCAGCCAGGGGACCAGGGAGAGGGTTCCCCAGGCAGTGACATCTAAGCTGAGCAGGGGTGGCAACAGCAATAGCAATCACAGTTAATACTTAAAGATCACTTACCAGGCTCTGCCAGCCACTGGGCTAAATGTGTTACATGCACTGCCTTATTTAACTGTCACCTTGACCAAATGAGACAGGTATAAGATGAAACTGAGGCACAGAGAGGGGAAGCAGTTGGAAGGTGGAGGCTGGCTAACTCTAGAGGCTTTGCTGTGGGCGCCATTCAGGCAGAGAGAGAATTCAGACAGGGGAATAGCACAGCAAAGGCTCAGAATTTGGAGGGAACTAGGCTTTCTAAGAGCTTCTGGTGTTTGGCAAGACTGGACAGGAAGAGCGCAGGCAGGAGGGATGGTAGGGCCTATAGCACCAGGTAGGGATACGGACTTTGGTGGAAGACAGTGCGTTTGGGGGAAGGTGGAGAGGTCATGCCTAGGTCTACTTTTCAGACCCACAGTCCTCAGTTCCCACTTAGAGGATTGACAGGAGGGCAGGGTACAGCAAGAGAGGTGGTACAGCCTGGGGCTTGAAGGCCACCACGGATTGTTGCCTGCTTTGTGTATGCACAGAAAGCCTCAAAAAGTGGTCCCCTCTCTCTCCCTGCACCCTGGCCTAGAGCTGCTGCAGGCTCCGCCCTGTTTTTCTAATTTCTTCAAGGGCCCTCTGTGGGTTGCTGGTGGCCTCCAGGCCTGACTGTCACAGATGTGGGCTTAAATCCCAGCTCATCAACTTGCAACCTGGGCAAGGCCCTTCACCTGCCTGACCTGTGTCCTTATTTCCAAAGCTGGGATGGCAATGATGCTTGCTTTGCTAGGTTGTGGAGCGTGCGCCAGTGGCCAGTGCCATTAGTGCCCAGTGTGCAGTGGTGATGGAAAGTAGCAGCTCCCTCCTCTGCACTCAAACACTTGGAGCTGGGCCAGGCTTTCTGGCCAGGGGGCCTGGCTGGTGGGGGCTTTGACCTTCCTGGAAAAGGGAGGGAGGAGGAGCCACAGTGACTGCCACCTTCCTTATGGACCCCTTATGGCCATAAGGAATGCTGGATCCTTTCTGGGAACCCTGCCTCCTCAGCCCGGTATAATGAGAAGCCTGAGATTCAGAGACATTTATTGGTGAGATCCGCCTGCTCTGGGCCTCAGTTTCCCCATCTGAGCAATGGGGGTGGAGAGGAGTTCTGATCAGTTCTCAGACTTCAGAGAATGGGGAGTGACAGAGCTCTGGATCAGGGTGGCAGACACTCAGCATCTCTGGCCACAGGGTCACCCATATCCCTGAGCACATTCCCCTACACAAAGTTCTAGGCCCTGCTCTCTCTTTCTGTGTGACCTCTGAAAGGTAGAAAGTAAATGTGCCTTTAAGTAGACCCAATAAATGGTAGCTGGTACAGGTTCTGTTTCCAGCTCTATGTGTGATTTCCTGGCTGAGTTACCAGGAGCCTGGGCCTGCCCATCACAGGCCTCAGTTCCTCACTGTAACACGGGGAGGGGTGATGGAAGCTAGCTGCCTCCTTGGATGCTGGGAGGTCCAGTGTACCAAAGGGAAGCAGAGCCTTCACAGAAGGAGGGAGGGGAGGCAGGGGCACCCTCAGGGCACTCACCTGTCCCCAGCAGCAGGAGCAGGAAGGAGGCTAGCACAACCCGGAGGTTCTTCTGGATCAAAGGATGTTTGGTCCAGCTGGACGGTAGGAGAGCAGGATGGGTATGAAAGAGGCAAAGGGTGGGGAGGAGAGAGCCAGGGCTAGGGGCATCAGGCACTAGGGGACTGGGCTCAAGTGAGCAGGGTCTCACCTGCAGCAGGAATGGTAGGTGTGCTGGGTGCTATTGCTGATGGTGCTAAAGGACCACTGGGAGCTGCGTATAGATGTTCGGCCAGAATCCCTGCAGGTGGGGGAAAGGGGAAACAGGGAATCCTTTGGGACAGGAGTCCTGAAGAAGAGTGTGTGTGTGTGTGTATGGCAGGAACTAGGGCTGGCCTCTACGGGAAAGAGGATCCTGAGCAGAGATAAGGACAAGGAGGAATTCAAGGGTGGGGGTTTCTGCAGGGCTACCTGATAGGGGAAGATGGGATGAGAGGTCATGACAGGTGACCTATGGGAAAGTGAGGGTCAGACCTGTCAGATAAAGAGCCTGGTAGGGTTGGATGGGTGAGAATGCAAACTATAGGGTGACCAGCTGGACAGGGAACCCCACAAGGGGAATGGGGCTAGGAATTTTTCATAAGACTGAACACAGCAGAGCTGTGTGTAGTGGAGTGGGGGGCTGGGTAGGTCTCTGTGGACAGGAGCCAGACGCATGGGAGCTTGGGGAATGGAGTGGGTCCCCACCTGGCCCTGACCTGGTGCTGACTCCCCCATCCGGTTCTGGCGAGGCCTGGGCTCCATCCTCATCATTCTCCAGGTTCTGTTCCAGAACACAGGGTTCAGGGGGGTTGCTGGGCTCAGGCCCTTCCTCACTTCTCTCTTGGAGAGAAGGCAGCCCACACAGCTGTTGGCCTGGCTGCGTGGCCGCCTAGCAGCTGCTCTCTGGCCCTCCACCCTCCCAGTAGAACGGGTTTGATGATTCACAGAAACCGAAACCCAAGTGGGTGGATGCTGGGGGCTTTGGGGAACAGGAGTCGGCAGAAGTCCCAGGGGCAGGGGATCTCCCAAGTTTGGGAGACAGGGTAGAGCTCTCAGGATGCTATTTCAGGGGCCCATCATGGAGGCTCCGGGTGTAGGGTGATAGGGAAAGAGAGGCCTAGAGTTCCCGGGTTTGGGGCACAGGAATCTGGTTCTGGTAAAGGATCCAAGGGCTGTTGGAGGTTTCAGAAAATGAGGATTTCCAGTTCAGTAGGAGACAAGGGGTGGGCAAAGGCAACTCCTCATGTGGGTGGGGCCTCAAGCTCTAAAGGGGTGCAGGTTCCTTTCAGATCATCCYGCCTAGGGCTCAGGTTGACGCTCCGCATATGGGCAAGGTTTCGTTGATACAGAAGGTTCCCCAAACCCCGCGGGGGAGAAGGGTCGGTCCCCAGGATGGGTGGGGACTCCGTGCGGTTCTCCACCGCGGCTGCGGGCTCTCCAGCGGGCTGGGGACCTAAATCGGAGTGGAGAGGGTCTGGACCGGGGTCTGGATCAGGCGTCACGTCCGGGGAGCGGCCTCCGCTCCGGCTGGGGCCTCTAGGTCTCGCCGGAGCTGCGTCTCTCCAGGGCTCGGCCGGGGGTCCCGACTGGCCCGGAGCAGGGGTGAGGTGGGCCGGGCCGTTCACCTGGTAGCGCAGCCGGGACTGCTTGTCCTCGTCGGCAACCTCGAACCGGGCCCGGCGCTCGAAGTGCAGCGGCCCAAAGCGGGCGACCCCGCTGGACTCGGGCCCGGGCCCCGCGTCCTCCAGGGACAGCTCGAAGGCGTCATCGATGCTGAACTGGGGCCGGGCGGCGCTCATGGCCGCCTCCGGCTCAGGAGCCCWGCGCCGCCGCCATCTGCGCCTGTCAACCCCGCGTCGCCGCGGCCCCGCCCCCGCATAGGCCCCGCCCCGCCTCGCCCCGCCCTGAACAGGCAGGACCTACGGAGCGCCGAGTGCACTGAGGGCGGGGCCGCTTCCTGCCCGGAGCCGGGCAGGCCCGCAGCGCCGCCCAGAGGCCGCCTCGGCGAGTGACAGCCGGGCGCGATCCTGGGGCCTGACACTGGCGGAGGGCCTTGCATGCCCCAGCTGCCCTGGGCCCACAGGCGGCCTTTTGCATCCCATCTGGTTCCTCCAGTGCCAAGGAGCCTGGGAGCTGTTTTCCCACCTTGCTCACCACGGCCCTGAGTGGAAGGAGTGTTCTTGCTATTTTGCCGATGTGGAAACTGAGGCTGAGTTCACGTTTCTTTTTTTCTTTTTTCTTTTTTTTTT